ATTGTTGGGAAGGGTTAAGTATGCATCCACCCACCTGCCCTGCACATGCTTCCTTCTCCCCAAACTCCTCCTCGCATCTGAATTACCTGATGTATTTGGAAAATGCATGTCTGCTTGTGTAACCCGTAGCTCTTCCCATACACGCAGCAGTAATGCAGCCTGCTCAGGTGTTCATTAATGCAGCCTGCCCAGGTGTTCTGCCTAGCCAGTATGTGCGCTGGCCCTAGTAGTGGCACAAAATTGCAAGGAACTGTCTCATCATCTGTTTGGGGCTGCATGAAGAGAATGGGAAGGAGGAAAACAGTACCTTTCCACCGAGCTACAGGCGAGACCCCACTCATGCAGGGGTTGCGTTCCCAGGTACCCCGTGTGTGAGTGAAGTTGCGCGTATTGGGAACACCATCTAAAAAGCCTGTAAACACCCTCCAAACCTCTGGAAACCCTTTTTTTAAAAACAGCTGCACTAACGAGGCATAGAATCATAGAATCATAGAGTTGGAAGAGACCACAAGGGCCATCGAGTCCAACCCCCTGCCAAGCAGGAAACACCATCAGAGCACTCCTGACATATGGTTGTCAAGCCTCTGCTTAAAGGCCTCCAAAGAAGGAGACTCCACCACACTCCTTGACAGCAAATTCCACTGTCGAACAGCTCTTACTGTCAGGAAGTTCTTCCTAATGTTTAGGTGGAATCTTCTTTCTTGTAGTTTGGATCCATTGCTCCGTGTCCCTCCAAACCTCCTTTCCAAAACGCCAACTCTCCACAGGCCTCAAAGGTCGGTGCAAAGGCTCCTGGGTTCACGCCTTTTTTGCCATTTTCACACTGTTTTTGCCCTTTTCGCTCCACTTTTGGGTTTGAATCGAATTGTTTAATTGTTTCACAACACCTTGCGGTGAGTCGGTCATGTACAAGTGGGGAGTTGCCCATATACTAGGCCAGTATGAATGAAAGCCACTGATGCCAGGGAATCCCATCTTGCGTGGACATCTAAGAAGAGGGCATGGCTGCGTGAGGAATTCTACACATCTGAGAATCAAAGCAGAGTCCCGCAGTGGGGCTGGGTTCTGCAGGAAGCCCAGATTACAAACAATTTAGCTGCGCCGGGTAATCCCCCTTCGTTTTAAATCTGCCAGGCAGGATGTTGAAAAGGCAAAAACCCAAATGGCAGCAGCAAATTTTTTTTAGGATTAGGAGCTTTCCTGCGCACGGCTGTGTATGTGTTAATATTTTAAGCTGACTTCTAAAACCGGTAAACAATTGCGCTGCTTCCAGTGGTGGGTGGTGCTGAGTGACCTCTTTTACATGCCTGATTATCCTGTCAACATTTATAATGCCTTTGATATTTCTCTCTCGTCGGGACGGGATCAGTTAAGCAGTCGCGTTTCGCCCGCACTCAGCTTGCCTTCCTCCTCTTCCTGGCTTTCCCATCCCCTGGTTATATAAATTGACATTAATTTCTGTAGATCTTAGCAGTGAGAGATTGTTAATTTATTCATGGTTGGAGGAGATCTGGGAAGGGAGGGGAAGGAGAGTTCTCCAGGACGAAAGAGGCGGTGGAAAGAAACATCTCGTACGGCACGGAACACCGATCGTCCGTGCCCGCTTGTTTTGCACAGAGTAATGAATGCTCCATTCCTGATTAACAATTTTGACCTATTTAAAGCTGCACTGTGTCATCGTCATCCCCGCCACCGCCCCCACCATCTTACGTTGCTTCTCGGACAATGTGAGCCACACATTACATTTTACGGGTTCATCAGCTGCAGTATTTGTCTAACCGATATCACTATCGCGTGCCAGCAACTGGAACAGAAGCCACAATGAGAGATTTCTTAGGCAGAGGTTATGGAAATGAATCTTTTGTGCCTGCCATTTAAATTTGGGGGTGTGTGCCGTGTTAATTTAATCTAATACAACAAGGGAACGCCGCTGTGGTTCCAGCGCAGGCCCTTAATTGATCACATCAAACCAACGTCCTTATTCCTTTCTTGACAGCAGGTTTTGTTTTGGACGCAAGTGTTTAAATCATATATATTAATTAACATGCTGGCAAGCTGGTTCAGTGTGCTGGCGCTACAGTGGATTCAATGCATCCGTCCCCTACACATGGGAGTGGGAACCTTCAGCCCTCCCAATGTCGTTGGACCACAACTCCCATCATCTTTGATTATTGTCCCCACTGGCTAGGGCTGATGGGAATTAGAGTCCAACAACATCTCAAAGGCCACAGGTCCCAACACAAACACCTCTTGCAGGAGCTCCCAGACATTGATCCCCATGCTAAGGAATAACCAGGTACCCATTTAATTTTACAAAATTATCTTTATGCTCGAGACAAAGGGAATATCTGGTTTGGAGGGGTGGGGGACCTGCGGCCTTCCAGATGTTGGGGACCCCCCAAGTGCCATCTTCCCCAGCTAGCATAGCCAATAGTCAGGGAGGACAGAAGCTGTAATTCTCATTAATGATAATAACCCCCATGAGACTGTTTCAGCTAAGTCACAGGTGTGGTCCATGCACCTGAAGCCGTGTATGATGTTAGGTTTGGACAGGTAAAGGCTGAGCCTGAACAAAAGGGGCTTTGCACGCACCACCAATCAGCTGGTCAGTGGTTTCTGCAAGACTCTTTTTGCCCAGTGCTTCCCAAGCTCTGTCCATCAGCTAAGGCCATTAGACGACGGTGGCATAAGCTCCCAAGTTGGCGCCCCTGCAGACGTCCTACTTGCCCTAACGCCTCCACCAGTGGCAGAGAAGGGACACTAACACCAGTGCCGATTTCAGGTGAGGTCTTGCAGAGTGTGCGATACTTTGCCCCAAATCTGTAAGCTCTCACCCTGAATGGGTGAGATCTTGCCTGAAACTGGCACAGATGCTGGCAGTGGAAGTGGCAGGGTGGATGGCACTTCCCATTTCGCTTCCGGTGGCGAAACCAGAGACGCCGCCCCTGCTATCAGCTGATTGCCAGTTTGGGAAGCACTGTGGACACAGCTTCCCAAACACCAACAATCAGCTGACGGTCAGTGCTTGGGTACGATCGCTCGCACTCGTATTCTAGGAGAAAATGGAGTATAGAAGAGTCGCGAAATGTCAGAGTAGAGCCTAGATCAAGGATTGGAAAGCTGTGGTACCTCCCCTAGAGAGCCGTTGCCAACCAATATAGACAAAGTCAGGGCTGGTTGGACCATTGAACTAACTTAGTGCAAGGCCATTTCATATGGTAAGTTGATAAAAGGCATTTGAGTGGTGCAGACGAAAGACAGAAGATCACAAGGTGGGATGGAGCCAGCTCCAAGTACGAAGTGGTGTGTGCATGTGGGGGAGGGATGATATTAATCTTCATTATCACTATACTCTCTCCCAGTGCCAAGCCATCGAATTGCTTTGCATACCCTAGATAACTTAAAGAACAGCTTGGGTCTACGAGATACAGTAGTGAAAAGAGAAGTGGCGTGATTGCAGTCTTGGGAATTGCGGTCGATTTAGGCATTTATTTTCACTTAACTCCAAGAGCTCCTGGGATTTTGAAGAGCTGCTGGTTTATTTATTTTTAAAGTAAATTAATGAAATAAAGACTGAGAAGAGCAAAATGTGCTGCCAGGATATGGCTTTTGTTGCCTGGAGACTTCCTTGCTTCACAAGAAGAATGTGGGACTTGGAGAGTGATTTCGGTTTAGCAGAAGGGAGTGCAAAGATAACCGAGAAAAGAAGCAAATGTAGTTTACCAGGTTTACTGGAAAGAAAGCATGCAGTGGAAGGAATCAACAAAGCCTGTGCATTACCTCATTCTCCTTACGGTTTGAATTTTACCAAGTTAGGTAACCAAGAGTCTCTGATCACTGATATCACCACACTGTTGTCTTTGGTTGAATTTAGTGCACCTGAAATACATTACAGCAAGTCTGAGCATAGAATCATAGAATCATAGAATCATAGAGTTGGAGGAGACCACAAGGGCCATCGAGTCCAACCCCCTGCCAAGCAGGAAACACCATCAGAGCACTCCTGACATATGGTTGTCAAGCCTCTGCTTAAAGACCTCCAAAGAAGGAGACTCCGCCACACTCCTTGGCAGCAAATTCCACTGTCGAACAGCTCTTACTGTCAGGAAGTTCTTCCTAATGTTTAGGTGGAATCTTTTTTCTTGTAGTTTGGATCCATTGCTCCGTGTCCGCTTCTCTGGAGCAGCAGAAAACAACCTTTCTCCCTCCTCTATGTGACATCCTTTTATATATTTGAACATGGCTATCATATCACCCCTTAACCTCCTCTTCTCCAGGCTAAACATGCCCAGCTCCCTTAGCCGTTCCTCATAAGGCATCGTTTCCAGGCCTTTGACCATTTTGGTTGCCCTTCTCTGGACACGTTCCAGTTTGTCAATGTCCTTCTTGAACTGTGGTGCCCAGAACTGGACACAGTACTCCAGGTGAGGTCTGACCAGAGCAGAATACAGTGGCACTATTATGAGCAACCTGGGGCCCTTCAGATATTGTTGGACTCCAACTCCCATCAGCCCCAGCCAGCACAATCCATGGTCAGGGATGATACAAGTTGTAGTCCAGCAAATCTGTAGGGTCCCCAGTTCCCCTTCCCTGAATAATAGATAGATTTTGTTCAGAGCTGGACCTACAGACTGAAGGTGACTTAAAAATCTAGCTCAGCTGTGGTCTTACCCGTTTAATCCTGAAGAAGTCTTATAATTCACATCACACTGGAAAGTTGACAAAAATGAGAGTCACTTTCACAATGTTATAAGCAGAAGAAATAAATATAGGTTTGGCAATGCTGAAGTGGTATAAAATGGTATGATCTAGTTACAGTCAGGCACTCCTGGGTTTCAATGAGCAGGACAAGGAAACCTGCAGACTTCTTGTCATTGCTAGACTCCCAGCTCCCATAGTCCTGGCCAGAATGGTCAGGGATGATGGGAGTTGTAGTCCGGTGGCATTGTGGAATGCTCATGAACATCTTAACTGATCAGGAGTTGAACTGTCAAACATAAATGGGACAGAAGGGGTTGCGAGCTGTTGGTGGGAAGAAGCATGGAATTCGTGCTCAGCTGGTAGGATGAATATATGGCTTAGGAAATGCATTTGCATAGGTTTCAAATTACGGTCTTCAAATAAAAACATCTTGGAGATCCCAAGCCACAGGGAGGTTAGGCTGGCCTCAGCCAGAGCCAGGGCTTTTTCAGCCGTGGCCCCGATCTGGTGGAACGCTCTGTCACAAGAGACTAGGGCCCTGCAGGACTTGACATCTTTCCGCAGGGCCTGCAAGACAGAGCTGTTCCACCAGGCCTTTGGCCAAGGCACAGTCTGACCCCCTCCTTTGGTAATTCTTCACAGAACTCTAGCCCAGTGGTTGCCATTAATTTGATTTTGAATTGATTTTAGAATTAGTTGATTTTAGAATGCATTTCAATTAATTGATTGTGATTTTATGTAAATTGTGTTACTTTTATTGTTGGTAGCCGCTCTGAGCCCGGCTTCGGCTGGGGAGGGCGGGATATAAATAAAATATGATGATTATGATGATGATGATTACAGACCAGGTATTTAGAAACCTGGCTAAATGGGCATCCAATGGATTTCCAGACATGTGAGAAAAACATTGCAATATAAGATCCTTACAGGTGCCTTGATAGTTTGCGAGGAGTCAGTAAGACCGCAGACAAGATAATATTTCACTGTTGGGTATTTCTAACACAAGATACTGCTGTAATGTCCAAAGTGGGCAGACATTCATGAATTAAACTTCGCCACTGATGTTGTAAGCACCATGTTAGAAGCCAACACGTTGGTTTCATTAATTATAGTGATGTTTTTGAATGCCTAATAAAGAGTCTCCTTGTTCCTTCCAGCTCCAAGGTTCCTTGAAGAGAAAACTGGTGGTGAATCTGTCGCCAGCCATTAACAAGAGGTCCAATGGCATTGCCGACTGCACCTTCCTTGATATTAAGAGGATCCGAGTGGGTGATAATAACCTTTCTGTGGGGCAAGGTGGACACTGTGGCAACAATTGCCCAAACCAGCCAGTGTTGGGAACCTTGACGGCTGAACAAGGCGCTCAGAGGAAAGTCAGCAGCCCAACCGGCAACATCCACTCAAACGCAAACGGGATGTTCAACATGACTCTGAAGGAGGTCAAGAAAGAGCCTGGTGAAACCAGCTCTTGCAGTAAGCACCTGGATGGGCAGGGCTCCCAGGGCAATCCTTTCCCCAAGCCATACGGAGAAGACGCAGGGGAACAGTTGATGGACCCAGAACTTCAGGAGCTGTTCAATGAGCTGACAAATATTTCGGTGCCGCCCATGAGCGACCTTGAGCTGGAAAACATGATCAACGCCACCATCAATAAAGACGAGCCCTTTAGCATCGACCTCGGGCAGCAGGTCCAGAGAGCGCCCTCGGCCAGGTCTTCCTCCTTGCAGATGGACAAGATGGTGATCAAGCAAGAGTACTCACCAGGTCTGAACCAGGCTTCTGTGGGGTCTCCCCAGATGAGACCTTCTTCCACGGGCCCAGCTTACACGATGTCCGGGGCCGCTATGTCCGCCTCATCGCCGATTGCTTCAGCACCTCAGACTCAGACTCCTCCATCTCAAGGGTCTTCAGTTCCCAACCGGCCCTTGGCCAGCTGGCAGGAGGTCTCCCACGCCCAGCAGTTGAAGCAGATCGCCGCCAACCGACAGCAACATGCCCTTATTCAGCAGTGCCAGCAAAGCCAGCCGCCGTCCCCCTGGCCCGCTTTGACGTCCGCCGAGCCTTCTCCCGGGTCCTTCGTCCAGGAGAAGATCTCCAGCCCTCCTTTCCACCAGCAGCAGTTCAGCCCTCAAAGCTCCGGAATGCCTGGGAATGGGAACCAGCCGAAAGGGATAAATAACTACCTTTACCGGCCAAGCTCCATGCCCCAGGGCAATCCCATGAACATGATGATGCAGCGAAAGCCTCAGGACCTCAACAGGGGTTATATAAGCAGCGGCCAGATGTCTCTGGAGGAGCCTCAGAACAACATCAAGCCTTTGTTTCATTTCAACCCGGAGCAAGCCAGCCAGCAGATGCCTTCCGTTTTGGGTTCCCAAAACAAGCCTTCCATTCTGCACTATGCACAGCAGCAGCAGCAGCAGCCTAACTCTGCCGCGGTGCAACAACAGAACCAGCAGCAGCAGACACGGCCACCCCAGCCTCTCCCAAGCCAGCCTCTGCAGAGGCCACCGAACATACCCTTAGCTTTGCAGCAGAAGATCCTGCTGCAGAAAATGCTGCAAGGCCAGCCGGTTTCGGGGCTTCAGTATCCTGTCCCGCCTCAGCACCAGCTGGTAAGCTTGCTTCTTTCAACAGGGTGGTGCAATGATTTGTGAAAATTACCATAGTAGGGTTGGGAGGGGAAGGGCTTTCTACAATCCTAGAAGCAGAGAGGAGATGCAGGGGCCTTTTAGCAGGCCACCTGGTTCAGGATAGGGGACCCTATGGAGGCGGTCAACCTACAATTCCCATAAGCCCCAGCAAACGTGGCCAATGAACAGGGGTGATGGGAGTTGGAGTTTGGCAACATCTGGAGGGCCAGAGGGTCCCCACACTGGATGTAGCCTAACCCCTCCCTTCCTGCTCGACACAGGAAATCCCAAGTTAAGAGTGACCCCCAACAGAGGGCCTTCAAGCCATCTGCTTGAAGATCTTCAGCAAGGGAGAGCACACTGTCCTTCAAGATACAGTGGTACCTCGGGTTACAAACACTTCAGGTTACAGACTCCACTAACCCGGAAGTAGTACCTCAGGTTAAGAACTTTACCTCAGGATGAGAACAGAAATTGCATGGCGGTGGCACAGCAGCAGCGGGAAGCCCCATTAGCTAAAGTGGTACCTCAGGTTAAGAACGGTTTCAGGTTAAGAACGGACCTCCAGAACGAATTAAGTTCATAACCAGAGGTGCCACTGTAATAGGTTCCGCAGTTGGACCGCTCTGACCAGCAAGATATTTCTCCTACCATTCAACAGAAAGCACCCACGTTGCGTTGCCATTTGAATTGTATTGCTCCCAGCGCATGTGTGCCAGGGGCAAGGCTGGTGGAATCCAGATGGTGGCGCCAATGAGTACAGGTGTTTTGCTCCGTCGGGGCCATTCCCTAAGGCCTCATCACCACTCAAATGAGTCACACATCAGCTGCAGAGATGGGGGCAGCCGCACCAGTGGTGCCCTGCTGGGACCCAAGGGCCCTAGAATTTGCCTGAGGATCCTGTGTCCTGGCGCCAGGCCTGCACTGAGATATTGCTGGGAGCTTGAATGCATCTGTAGCCGACAAAATTAGGAGAAATTGCTGATGGCTCCCAGCACATTTCCAAGCACAATTCGAAGTGTTGGTGCTGACCTTTAAAGCCCTAAACGGCCTTGGCCCAGCATACCTGAAGGAGCGTCTCCACCCCCATCGTTCAGCTCAGACGCTGAGGTCCAGCTCCAAGGGCCTTCTGGCGGTTCCCTCCCTGCGAGAAGTGAGGTTACAGGGAACCAGGCAGAGGGCCTTTTTGTTAGTGGCGCCCGCCCTGTGGAACGCCCTCCCATCAGATGTCAAGGAAATAAACAACTATCTGACTTTTAGAAGACATCTGAAGGCAGCCCTGTTTAGGGAAGTTTTTAATGTTTGATGTTTTATTATGTTTTTAATACTCTGCTGGGAGCTGCCCAGAGTGGCTGGGGAAACCCAGCCAGATGGGTGGGGTATAAATTTATTATTATTATTATTATTATTATTATTATTAAACCAGCCTCAAACTTACATGGAGAAATCAACAAAGGGTTGAAAAAATGAGATACTGAGAGAAACCAAGGTGGGCAGATTTGCCACTCAGTGGTTGAGCATCTGATTTGCATGCAAAAGGTCCCAGATTCAAACTCTGACATCTGTAGGGCTGGGAATGTCACGTGTTTGACACTGCCAGTCAGTGTTGACAGCCTTAAGTTAGACGCACCAGCAGTATGACTCAGTATAAGGCATATTTAGGTTCCTAAATATGGCGAGGCCGGTAGCAAAATGATAGCCGCACAAACATAAGAGCATAGGAGTCCAGATGGAACTGAGCAAGGGCCTATACAGTCCAGTACTTTATTCCCACAGTGGCCGATCAGACGCCTGTGGGTTTGTGTCAGGTTTTTGGGGGGTTTTTTGCTTGAGCTCAGAATTTTCAGACATGTAAACAGAGAGGTGGCACAAGGCGAGGACTGTCTCCTGGCTGCTGATGCCTCAATGGCTTTTAACTGTGCATTCAGAAATGTTCCTCTGTACTCTGAGGGTGATGTTGCATTTGGTGGGATGTGCAAAATGTCTGCACAAACTCAGTCTAACATCTTCCTGTCAATCTCAGCTTTCTGACAGGGTTGCAATGTATTTATATTTATATCAGTCAATAACCAGTAGAGAAGGAAGAAGGAAGAAAACAGAGCACATAAAACACTCAGGAGTTCCCACTCAGTCATAATAACAAACCATTGTCCGACATTATATGAATAAGCCTCAGGTTTATATGCTGTTCCTTCCTTCCTCCCTTGTTCTCATATGTTCATGGTTTGTATCAAACCACAGTTTCCTGTTTAATCCGAATAGAGGAAACTGTGGTTTGTACAAACCGTATTTTACTAACAAACTAGGAGACCAAACCACAATCTAATCTTGGTTCATTTCCTGGTTTGTTAACTGTCTTTTGTACAAACCACAGTTTCCTATATTCAGGAAATTGCAGTTTGCCACAAGCCATGAAAAAATGTTTTAAATCTCCACCCCTTCAATTGTAAAGGAGGATGGCAGGGTATGGACCAGCATGCAGGTTCAATGCTCATCTTTGCTTGTGCAGCAAATACATAACCATGGTTTGCCATTATGTCTGAGCCGAGTCAGTATCCGTTCTGCAGAAGGAGGTTGTTCGTGACAAACTTGTTCGCTAACAGGCATCTGAAATGTTGTGGCAGAAGATAATTTCTCAGCCACCAGTGCTTACTAAGCAGAGTGCTTTCTTAATAAGCATTGCTACAGAGGCTGAATTGAGGCCACCGTTATTTAAAAAGCAGGGAAACGTAAGCACACAGGTCTCGGAAAACAGTTGTAGCTCTCCTGTCAAAGAAGGGCGCTGCAACTGGAACTCTTCCTAAATGTGTACATTGTTTTTATCCACAGCTGATAACCCTCTGTAATTTTCTGGCTCTAAAGTCTCGAAAAAGCACTTTGAGACATGTCTTTATCAAGCTAAAGCTTGCTAAGTGAAAGCACAAGGCTTATTTCTCTGCCTGTCACTGGCGCTTTGTGTCAGGCCACGGGTGGGGGAGGAAAGGATTTTCTAACTTCATGGCTTCTGCCTTTAGGGACTGAGCATACGATTGAAAGAGAAGCGCTTGGTTTCTCGAGAAACGGGGAAATGAAGGCAGTAGTTTGTGCCACCGTCCAGGATTCCCACCCACCCACAACCCTGCTTCTTCTGTGTTGCTTTGCAGGAGAGACTTTCCACATGCTTGTTCTTCCTTTCTCAAATTTCTACATTCTCTGTGATCTTCCACATTCCCCTTGAATACCAGTTTAGGTGAGATTTGGTAGCGTTGTACGTGCATGAGTGTGCAGCTGTGTGCACACGCACACATTCATACATGCACATGAAATTTCAGTCATCTTATCCCTGCTCCCCTTTCCAAAGTGACTGAAGTCGGGGTGGGAAGGGGAGAGAGATTAAGACCACATATTTTAAAAAATGTGTGTGGTATCTTACAATAACATACAAATCACGTGTTCAAGCACCTTTGGAAACTCGCTTCAGAACGATCTTGACCTCTGAGATGAACAAACATACCCCTACCCTATACTATTGACTGAGCTGCTCTGATGTCGCAGTGAGCTATGGGAGAATGACCCACAACCCATTGGCCTTATCAAATGTTTATTATGGGAAGGAAGCAGCGTAGCCGTGATCCTTTAAAAATATGCATTGCGACAAGTGCAATTTCATGCGTAGAATTCCTTGCAGAGAGGGAGACTTACACATGTGCAGAACAATGGGTTTTTAGTGCAGGTCAATTGTACAGTCATACCTCGGGATGAATATGCTTCAGCTTAAATATTTTCGGGTTGCGCTCCGCGGCGACCCGGAAGTAACAGAGCGTGTTACTTATGGGTTTTGCCCAGACACTGCATGCGCAGACACTCAAAATGACGTCATGCGCAGAAGCGACGAAACGCGACATGCAGTCATGTCTTACGTTCGCTTCAGGATGCGAACAGGGCTCTGGAACGGATCCCATTCGAAACCAGAGGTACCACTGTACAGTGGTACCTCGGGTTAAGTACTTAATTCGTTCCAGAGGTTCGTTCTTAACCTGAAACTGTTCTTAACCTGAAGCACCACTTTAGCTAATGGGGCCTCCTGCTGCTGCCACGCCGCCAAAGCACGATTTCTGTTCTCATCCTGAAGCAAAGTTCTTAACCTGAGGTAATATTTCTGGGTTAGCAGAGTCTATAACCTTAAACGTATGTAACCTGAAGCGTATGTAACCCGAGGTACCACTGTACTGCTGTCAACTTTGATCCAGAGTGCATGTTTTTCCTGCAGAACATCCAGGCCTCTGTACTCTATATCCCAAAGGTATCATCAGTTGTGGTAGTCTAGTGTCCCATCTTTTAAGAACCTGCCACCCTCAGGAGGTTTTTGGATTACAGCTCCCTTCACTGGCGTTGCTGGCTGTCAGGTGTTGCTCAAGGACATCTGTATCCCCCACCCCGATCTCAGGAAGGGATATGCTCAATCTGAATTAAAACACCCATAGTTAAAACATCGCATGATTCTGTTTTGTAAAATAGTCGTTTTTCTCTACGCTGCGTGACGCATTAACCATATTGGCAAGCGCAGAAACAAAACAGAACACAGCTTTGGAGAGGAACCCTGTTATTAGCGTCACCTGTGAACACACCCAGATGGTTCTCTCCCCTCCCCAAAGGAGCTCAAAACAAGTTAGAAGCTATTAGTGACCCATTAACCAATGGATTTGCACATTAATGGTTCATTAAAGTCATATGTGAAAGGGAGGCGGGGAATTAGGGAGGCTGGAATGTTTGCTCTGAGGACCCATAGATTCCACGGAGGGCAGCAGTCCTCAGCGCTCGCAGTGCTTTGATCAAAAGAAGACTGAAGCTAATGAGTCACTTCATTCGTCTCCAGTGCGCTGTGCGTCGTCCATTGGGGCGGGGACCTCTCTGTAAAGGAAAACCAAACAAACCATGGCCAGGTCTGTATTTGTCTCCCAATTAGTGAACCCACCAGCAATGCAGTGCACTGAGCCTGAACAATAATAACATGGCCCTTCTGTTCCGGGGACAAGTGAAATTAAGCATACGGAGTCGAACACATGGCAGGTTGCTTCGCACATGGCTTCTCCGGGATGATGCTCAGAGGAACGCAGGAAGGTGATTTATGCTGAGTCGGACCCATCGGTCCATCTAGTTCAGTGTTTCTCGACACTGGCTGGCAGCAGCTCTCCAAGGTTTCAGACAGAGAGCCAGTGTGGTGTAGTGGTTAAGAGTGGTGGCCTCATAATCTGGTGAACCGGGTTCGCGTCTCCGCTCCTCCACATGCAGCTGCTGGGTGACCTTGGGCCAGTCACACTTCTCTGAAGTCTCTCAGCCTCACTCACCTCACAGAGTGTTTGTTGTGGGGGAGGAAGGGAAAGGAGAATGTTAGCCACTTTGAGACTCCTTTGGGTAGTGATAAAGCGGGATATCAAATCCAAACTCCTCCTCTTCTTCTTCTTCTTCTTCTTCTTCTCCTTCTCCTCCTCCTCTTCCTCCTCTCCCATCCCTACCTAGAGATGTCAAGGATTGAACTTGGAACCAGCGGCAGCTGGGACCCATTAGGCACGGCAGGGTGGTCAGTAGAGGGTAGATTCAGAGCCAGCGACAGACAGATCTGACTGATTGTAAGTCACAAGAGAGGCACCCGGGGGCTGCCTGGCTGAGCGCAGCCTGACCCTGGTGGGGCATCTGCCTAAATGGACCAGCCTCTGTTGCTTGGATCCTTCTGCATACAAAGCAAATGTTCTGCCCCTGAGCTACGGGCCTCCCCCATGCTGGTGGGTCACAATCCTGGCCTCTTTAGGGTAAGCAGTGCCCTTCCATTGAGCAGAATTTTGGCCTTACTGCTGAAATCTGAAAGACCAAAGTCTGCCCTTGGCTAAAGGGCCATTGACTTGATCCAGCAGGATCTTCTTAGGGTCCTTAGAACTGAATTTAAGATGGGGGGAGTGGAACGAGAAAACCGAGAGAAGCCAGAATTGACATATTTGCCAGTTCTCTAGTTCGCAAGGACGTCTCTCTACTACAGCAGAGCTGCCCCTGGAACCAAAATGCTAGTTGTGCAAAAAAGGGCTTCAGAAGGCATGTCCGTGTTGCAGCCTCGAGACCTGCAGGCCCACTTTTAAGGCCTCTGTCTTCTGCCACATCAGAGTAAATGGGTCATGTTGTTCATGGAAATTACGCTGTGTGCACTGAAGCGGGTTTGTGTGTGTGTGAGTGGGCCACGGAGAGGGGAGAGCGAGCTCAGAATCATTTACTGCATCAAGAACAGGAGCACTAAAGAAACCATATATATCCATCAATCACTTTCTTTGTTGAGACTTCCTGAGAGATTGATGAATAGGCCCTCTGTGTGGAAATAGCAAGTCCGTAAAAGGCCCGTAAATTATAAATTTGTTCATCTCAAATACCGCATGAGCGAAAGGGACTACGAACTATTGACGCTGGAGGACAGCGAGAGCTGGTGATGAAGCCACAGGAGTCTGGAGTCAATGTCACCTAAGGGTGTTCAAGAGGAGCATTTATTTTATATAAAGATATTATACTGTCCTTAAAGGGACCTTGACGGCTTTTTACAAAAAAAATTAAAACTCCAACAACAACATGAAATAATAGTCCGGATAAGTCACACATCATTCAAGTAACCTTCCCAAATCAAAATCAAAATATTTATTTTAATGACATTTATATACCATACCCTCCAATATTTCTCTGGTGAAAACAGGGACGTCCTGTTCCATAATAATGAGAATAATTTTATTGTTTATACTCCACCCATCTGACTGGGTTACCCCAGCCACTTTGGGCAGCTTCCAACATATTAAAAACATAATTAAACATTTAAAAACTTCCCTGTACAGGGCTGACTTCAGGTGTCTTTTAAAGGTTGTATTATATTATATTATTACTTATCTCCTTGGCTTGGGTCGCATAACTCCACACCCTCCAACATTTCTCCAGTGAAAATAGGGGCATCCTAAGGAAAAGGATCAATTCAGAAACTGGCCCAGCTTATGTAAATCCGGGACTGTCTATGGAAAATAGGGACACTAGGAAAGTCTGATAATACCTCTTGATTGTAGTAAAACATCTAGTGGTTTGCGAGAAATAATAACCATTAAAACAAGGTGAAACTAACATCAAATTGTAAGCGGAGCTGAAACATCCAGGTGTTAAAGGCCCATTTACAAATAGACAGGAAGGGAGCCAAGTGTACCTCCCCTTGAAAGCACAGTTTGTAAGTATGGGGCCAGCACAGAAAAGACCCTGTTTGTTGTGCCCTGACTAGTGAGTAGGACTACTATGGCCAGTCTTCAGGCTCAGGCAAGTTGAAGCAGGTGATCCTTCAAACAGCATGGTCCCAAACTGTTTACCTCTTGAAAGATAATCACCACCACCATAAATTGGGCCCATCAGCACATCTAGTACAGAATCAGTTCTGTATTTTCAGATTGCCCAACCGCCACAAGCAACCTAGAAGCTGTATTCTGCACCAGGTGAAGTTTGTTTGCTTGTTTAGATTCTCACCTGCCCTTCACCCCAAAGTCCCAGGGTGGCTTACAACAATGAAATACGCAATCATAAAAAAATAAAGCAGATATACCCATAAAACATGTGTAAAAGACAATTGAAAACGATTCCATATATTTAAAACAATGCAAACTTTATTTAAAAACAAACATAGGTACGCAAGCAATTAAACGTAGTTTCAATCCAGATAAATTGAGGGATAAAGATCTCCACTTATTTATCTTATTTTATTAAATTCATTTAATAAATTAAATTTATTGAAAAGGCTTGAAAGAAGAAGGTCTTCTGTAGCCTCCACGCTATCTTCAAAGGCAGCCCCGGAAACAACGCATTTCAGTAGTCTAGCCTGGCTGTAACCAGGTCATGAGGGCCTATGGCAAGGTCCGTTTTCTCCAGATAAGGACACAGCTGGCGATTCAGCTGAAGCGGATGGGTACCATCCCTTGAGAGAGCTCCACTGTGCTGTAAATAACGTTCCACATGAATTCCTTTTTAAAAAATAAATAAATAAACAAGCAAAACCTGTAGCTCTCAGGGTGCAGTTAGACTCCAGCTCCCATCATCCCTTGCGGTTGGCCAGGCTGGAGTAGAATTAGATTTCACATGGTCTGGGCATCATGCAACCTGCAGTCACTCTCAGCATGGCCCACTTCTCCCAGCTACCTAGCTCATCACCCATCCTCTGCATCAGCCTTGGGCCCCCATATTGGACTACAACTCCCATCATCCTTAGCTAGCAGGTCCAGTGGCCAGGGATGATGGGATTTGTAGTCGCAACAACATCTGGGGACCCAAAGACTGCTCCGTATGGTGGGGAAAAGACCGGGGACGGAAATTTTAGCTGCCCCGGGATCATTGGGGAGCGCGGACTTCTACATGTTCTCCCAAAATCTCTGTTCAAGCGTTGAGGGACTTATTCCCCAGGAGTTCACTCCCCGTTGATGCAGGGAAGTTTATAGTGTGAGGGGTGGGGGAAAAGAATGGGGGAGACAGACAGGGAAGGAAAGGTTGTGTGTCAGAGAGAGAGAGCAGGAAAAGTCGTGATCTCTGGGTGTGAATCAGAGGGTGTGGGGGAAGTTGTATGTCTGTGTGGATGAGGGAGGGGTGCTGCCTCTGGCGCTGCCCACTTCCAGGGCAGGCTGCCTCCCCCCCCCCTTGCTTTGTGTAGCCTTTGTGCTCATTCCTGCCTTAAATGTTTATTTGACTTAAATAAAGGGACGCTGCAAAACTGCAACAAAGGGAGTGCCCATCTGAGCAGTTTTACGAGGGCCGAGAAGCAGAAAAGGGGGTGGGGTCTCTCGTAAGCAGAGCCCCTCGGAGAGTACGAAGATCAGCCCAAGCTGATTGTGAAAATTGAAAAGGCTTTCTTCTGAACCGACTAATATGAGTCCTCTCTCCTGGAGACACATTTGCTTCATCCTTTATTTGGAAAGTTGTCTCACAAATGATCAAGCTGATTTGTTTTACGGTTGTTCAAATGATAACAAAGGGCACTTTCGCCAAATATTAGAACACTACGGAGCTGTATGGTCTTTTGAGGCAGACCTATCACAGGAGAGCTTGGGACGCGGGTGGTGCTGTGGGTTAAACCACAGAGCCTAGGACTTGCCGATCAGAAGGTTGGCGGTTCGAATCCCCGCGATGGGATGAGCTCCCGTTGCTCGGTCCCTGCTCCTGCCAACCTAGCAGTTCGAAAGCATGTCAAAGCGCAAGTAGATAAATAGGTACCACTCCGGCGGGAAGGTAAACGGTGTTTCCGTGCGCTGCTCTGGTTCACCAGAAGCGGCTTAGTCATGCTGGCTGTACGCCGGCTCCCTCGGCCAGTAAAGCAAGATGAGCACCGGAACCCCAGAGTTGGTCACGACTGGAATTAATGGTCAGGGGTCCCTTTACCTTTACCTTTACTACAGGAGGTGGCAGGATCTCCTTCGCTCAAGGTCTGTAAGCAGAGCTTGGATGGGCTACCTGTCAGGGACGTTGTAATCGTGGGTTTTCCTGAATCATCAGGGGGCTGGGACTAGCTAATCTCCGGTATTCATGTGTCACCCACACGGGCAAGTGAAAAATGTGAAAAGACCTTGCAAGCCCAGGTTTTTCCAATGCAGTACAGTACAGCGTAGCTGAAGGCAGCTTTAATGCTTTCTTGTCATTGATTTACTTTTCAGCAAAATGGGGTAGGGGGGTGGACATTCCTTTGCTCTGCGCAGGGTGGTTTGCCTTCTCTTGCTGAGGAGAAACGTTTGTGAGGAAATGAGCAAGAACGTATGAGAATGTGGCCATCTAATGTCGAATGCTGCGGAGGGTGTAAAAACGGTGCTTCCTTCCATGGGAATGAGAGCCTCTGCCAAAGTGGGATGCCTGAGTCGTCCCCAGGGACTGGATCCCTACCCTGATTGGTCGAGACGACTGTGAGAAGTCCGAGCAGGCGGCTAGGAAAGATGTGGATCAGTGTCAGTATGTGAAACAGGAGGGAAGCCCCTTCTATCGATGCATCAGTACGGAGAGGGAGGAGAAGAGTGTTTATATACCCAAGGCCCGGATCCAGGAGCTAGCATCTGCAAAACAAAACAAAAACCCAGACACGTTTCCCTGTTAACCTCGCAATCTTTTTCAGCCGTTGTGGTTAAACCACAATGGTCCCGCGTGGTAGGAGGTATGCTATGGGAGTTCATTCCTTTTTCTGCTTTGAAAACACCCAAAAACGGCTTAGAAGAGGACGTGCCTTTCAAAAGAACGAAGGACTCCTCAGGACAACCTGTTTGTTCAGCATTCGTCCTGGTTTGCTCTTGCAAGGCTTGCCACTGGTTCGATTGCGGCTGCGTTCAAAGCGCCGCAACATGGCTTTAAACGCTCATGGCTTCCCCCAAAGGATTCTGGGAACTGTTGTTTGTTAAAGGGTCCTGGGTGTTGTTAGTAGAACCCTCCCTCATTCCCCTCCACGGAGCTACAGTTCCCAGCGTCCCTCAGGAAAAGAGGGGTTGACTGTTAAAACTGCTTTGGGTACTGTACCTCTGCAAGCCTCAGCATGCACACGCACACATACCCCGAACATGCTGATCCCACACGCACAGACACCTTATTTTTGCTCCAGCCCTGTTGGCACTCGTCCCCAGAGTTTGGTATTAGAGGGAGTTGTTTTGAAATGGAGGGGGTCACTGACGTTCAGAAAGGATTGCCAAAGGCCTCATAGTGAGCTCATTGCTGAGGTGATACTTGACCCAGGGATTTTCTGATTCATCATCCGGTCTTTGAGCTGCTACTCTGCACTTCCTTGTGATCTGTTGTTTCAGCAACCAGCTTACAGGATCGAGCTGTTAGTTCCTTGGCTGAACTACACTTCTAACGTGTTTCGGTATTTTTCTCACCTCCATGACAGCTCTAGGAGGTCTGAGTATCATTTTAAGGATGGGAAATTGCCCAAGACAGCCTAGCAAGTCCAAGGATGGACAGAGTTCTAAATCCACTTTTTTATTTTAAAAAAAACATAATTGGTAGTATCCATTACTTAATGGCTTGATCACTGATTAAAAATGGTAATTAATTGTGCCTCAGCATCTCCAAATTTCCACCACTTAAGCTCCTCTTCTCACTCTACAATTCTATGATTTTTTATTTAACGTTCATGAAAATTTCTAGCAAATATCTTGTTGCGTGCAATTTTGACTAACGTACACATTTCTGCAAACAGTTTCTCTCAGTATAATGTATTTTTGTATGTTTTTTTCACTAATTTTGTCATACATTTACACACTTTTACCTAATATGTGCATTTTAAAAAAAACCAACAGTGGTTGGTTGACGAACTGAATCCCAGCATTTGGATAAATGTGCATGGGGGGGGCTATGTTTTGCTTCTATTATTTTTTTGGGGGGTTGAATTTGATCAATCTGCTTTGAAAGGAAAACTGAACCAAAAATGTACCAAATCCCTGGTCTGGAGGCACCAGATTGGTATCACAGAGGAAGAGGAAGGGCCGTACTCTGATTGGCGGGTTTCCTCCAAGATGTCTGACAAAGGCCTTTTGTAGTTCTCCTCCTCCAACTAAAGAATACAAAAATGAAATCTGGGGCGTTATACTTCCATAAAGCACAGACTCTTAGCCATTGCGCAGCTATTGTCTTTCCATTCTTCTGAATGTTGCTTCAAGCCTTGAGGGAGAAAGTATCATTTTCCTTCATCAGAGAAAAAAGGCTCATTAACACGGCAGTTTTAGAAGACTTAATAGCAAACTAAAAAAACGATCCTTCAGATATGTATGTTTGATGTTTTGAGGTAACACTTTCACAAATCCCTCGGGAGGTGTAACCGTGGAATTTCTCTCACAGCCGAAAAGTAGAAACTCATTAACTATTTTGTGTGTGTGTGTGTGTGTGTGTGTGTGTGCGCGCACTTGAGATGAAAGGCATATCTGGTCATTGCTTGGTATAAACACATGTTCTATTTCCAATGGATTATATTTATTTTATTCATGATTACATTTAGATCCCCGCTTTCCAAGGAGCTCAGTATGGGGTTCGTGGTTTTCTTCCTCATAGCAGCCCTGTGAGGAAGGTGAGGCTGAGAGACTGCGACTGGGCCTAGATCGCCCAGTGAACTCCTCGGCTAAGGGGAGATTTGAACCCTGATCTCCTGGGCTCTCTTTTTGCACTCTGCTGTTTCCGTAGAAACTCACTGCCCCACACTGGGTCTCTTGTTGTCAAGGTACAAATGCTACCCAAAACAGAAATACAGGAGAACCAGGAAAGTTGGTGTTGCCCAGACAAATTCCCAGCTCGTTCAGGGAGTTTTTTTCTAGCCTTCCTGACTGGGGAGCCAGCCTGGGTTGACAGGAGCAATTGGAGACTGAAAATGCTTTTACTGCTCAAGAAGATGCTTCTAAACCATCACTATGGCAGCTCAGAGGGCCAAGGGTAACAGAGGGCCATTAGGTCCAGTCGTGACCAACTCTGGGGTTGTGGCATTCATCTCGCTTTATTGGCCGAGGGAACCGACATACAGCTTCCTGGTCATGTGGCCAGCATGACTAAGCCGCTTCTGATGAACCAGAGCAGCGCATGGAAACACCGTTTACCTTCCCGCCGGAGCGGTACCTATTTATCTACTTGCACTTTGATGTGCTTTCGAACTGCTAGGTTGGTAGGAGCAGGGACCGAGCAACAGGAGCTCACCCCATCGCGGGGATTCGAACCGCTGACCTTCTGATCAGCAAGTCCTAGGCTCTGTGCCATGGTTTTTCCAGTAGTGATGTATGGAAGTGAGAGCTGGACCATAAAGAAGGCTGATCGCCGAAGAATTGATGCTTTTGAATTATGGTGCTGGAGGAGACTCTTGAGAGTCTCATGGACTGCAAGAAGATCAAACGTATCCATTCTGAAGTAAATCTGTGGCTCTGTGTTTTAACCCACAGCGCCACCCGCATCCCAAGGGTAACAGTTACACGTGGTTAAATTTGGGGATGAGGTTTAGGATAACGCTATATCTTGGCTTGCTTCCGGGCAGCCTGTTTATTGAGCAGTTCTCCCACGATTCTGTAAGTGGTATAACTGTGCCTTAATTGTATGATGAGGATGTAGGTGCTATTTATTGAGCATTCGTTCCGATTAGTTTGCAGGGAGGTTAGATGAAGCAGCTAAGTGCTATTCCCGTCGTAACAAGTTTGTTGTTCGAAACCTCAGAATCGACCGTAAACGCGCAACCTAAATTTGCCAGCGTGTGATTGAATCCCACCTGAAAAATAGTAATAAAATCTGAAAGAACCTTTGAAGACCTCATCTCCTACCTACAAGAAAGGGAAGAAGCTACGCCCTGACTCCTCTGCAGTGTCCTCAATTTGAAGGGCTGTCCAGTCCAAGTCTGCTTTAAAGATGTTGTCGTTTAGTCGTGTCCGACTCTTCGTGACCCCATGGACCAGAGCACGCCAGACACTCCTGTCTTCCACTGCCTCCCGCAGTTTGGTCAAACCCATGCTGGTAGCTTCAAGAACACTATCCAACCATCTCGTCCTCTGTCGTCCCCTTCTCCTTGTGCCCTCCATCTTTCCCAACATCAGGATCTTTTCCAGGGAGTCTTCTCTTCTCATGAGGTGGCCAAAGTATTGGAGCCTCAGCTTCACGATCTGTCCTTCTAGTGAGCACTCAGGGCTGATTTTCTTAAGAATGGATAGGTTTGATCTTCTTGCAGTCCATGGGACTCTCAAGAGTCCTCCAGCACCATAACTCAAAAGCATCAATTCTTTGGCGATCAGCCTTCTTTATGATCCAGCTCTCACTTCCATACATCACTATTGGGAAAACCATAGTTTTAACTATACGGACCTTTGTTGGCAAGGTGATGTCTTTGCTTTTTAAGATAAAGCAACCCTAACAAGAGAGAGTAGAGGCCTTGGAATTGCCCTCAGATACTTAGCACCCGGACAGCAGAATGGGCCTGCTCAGACCAGCTCTCAGTGGTGAGAGGCCCTGCATTGCTATTTAAATGACTGCAATTACAAACAAAAATCCTTCTCTGCCTATAAATCAGCAAATGCAAATTCTATGCAGAACTGTGACCTCTTTCGTTGCCTTTTTGTAGGGATAAGTGGTCACTCTAAGAATTAACAGCTGCTCTTGGTTAAAGTTGGGCATGAGGTTGCCGGCAGTAATGACGTGTGTATATCCTGGAAGCAGCAATGAGTCGCAATTCCTGTATTTGCCAAAAAAATTAATATCAGAAATGAGACTTGGGTGCCTCTAATGCTGGGAGACGCCTATGCTCCACCCGAGTAGCAGACCTATTTATTTCAAGATCTGCCAGTGCCACCATCGTAATGGGAACCAGGGCTGACTCAGAATTTTTTCAGCTGCTTTCTAGAGCAAAAGGTGCACGCTTCCCTACGTCTTGTTTGCCAGATTTCCCAGTGCCACGCATGGAACAAGTGGCTCTGCTGGAGCGAGGATAATATCGCTCTGTGGTTCCACATGCTGATTGGGGGTGTGGGTTCCCAACCTCTTGTCTACTACAGAGGCAATCAAACGTGGCCCATCCATACTGAACTTCACCTTGAGAAATGTCTTTAGCTATAAATCATTCCGACTCAGAATATCACTTACTCATTCGTGAGCAACACTATTTCTTGTAAACCTGAATCACTGGTTTGCCTGGCAATTTCTGCCTCCACCTTTTCTTTTCCCACTCCCCCCCCCCTTTTTTTTTATTTTCCTTTCGTTTCCTTTGCTTGCTTTTACTTCACATGAAATGAGCATACTTGGGTCTAAAAAGTTGCCAGAAATCGTTTTCTTTCTGGGACAAAGGAAGGCCGACGAAGCAACGTTCGCTACACTCCTCCTCCATGGCTTCTGGCCAAGGCTGCTGAAGTCCAGGCTTGCCACTAAATCAGAGAAATGAACCCTCTCCTGTCTCACCCCCAGCATTGATAAACGCTGCCAAGACCACATCCTAAGCTGGAACCCTACAGGGAAGATATGTCTCACATGGCAAGACTCCTGTAACTGGAATGCAGCTTTCTTCCATGTCTGTCTGTCTCTCCCCTGCCCCACCCTCTTAGGGGAAGGGACGTATCTCAGAAGCGTGCAGAAGGCTCCTGGATCAATCCCCAACATCTTCAGGAAGGGCTGGGGAGGATTCCTTACCTGAGACCCTGGAGACCAGCTGCCAGTCAGTGTAGACATGCCTGAGCATCTTCCTGTGTATCTTCCTGTGGCCTGATGGACCATAGGATTGATTGCTGATGTAATGAAATCAATAAATAGCCATGGAGAACATTAGCAAACTTTCCCAGTGTCCCTATTTTCCAGGGACAGTCTCAGATTTCCGGAAGCCGGATTCCAGTTTCTGATTTGATCCCGGAATGTCCCGCTTTTCCTTGGGACGTCCTTATTTCCATCGGAGAAATGTTGGAGTATGCATGAGCAGGTTTTGACGCGTCATAAAATACCACCTTACCACATGGGATCACTGTCTCAAGCCCACTCTGTTTAGAATCATAGAATTGTAGAGTTGGAAGGGGCCCAAGGGTCATCTAGTCCAACCTCCTGCGACACAGAAATCTCAGCTCAACTCAAGCAACCATGACATAATGGCCATCCAACCTCTGCTTAAAAACATCCAGTGAAGGAGAGCCCACCATCTCCCTAGAGGGAGTCCGTTCCACTGTCAGAACAGTCAAAAAGTTCTTCCTGAGGTTGAGTAAGAATTGCCTTTCTCGTAACTTCGGATCCATTTCATTTCACACCATAGGTAGAGAATTTGTGGCGTTCCGGAAGTTTCAGTGGACTACAGCTCCCAACGTCCTTGACCATTGGCTATGGTGGCTGGTGGCCTAGAGCTGAAGGATTAATTAATTGAATTAATTTTATAATGAAATTATTTTAGAATGTTGTATTTATTTTACTGTTGTTAGCCGCTCTGAGCCCGGCTTTGGCTGGGGAGGGCGGGATATAAATAATTTATTATTATTATTATTATTATTATTATTATTATTATTATTATAAGGAGGTTGTTAGTCCAACAATATCTGGAAGGTCATGTCTTCTTCCTCCGTGTTCTGCAGTCTGAAGGGAAACCCTGTCTCTTGGCCACTCTCCTCAAAAAATGGCAGGGTGACAGGAATCGCCCCTTGTTCGGTCATGATTTGAAGTCATCTATCTCCTGTTGACTCTGCTAATTCCCATCACCATCCTAAAGTAGGAAACAGGAGGGAAAGAATTGTTTCGTTTATTATACAAATGCCAACAGATGCTTAAAGACTCTGTTTCAAAACCTGTGGCACAAAACCGTGACATGTTTTATATGGTTTGGCGAAAGCTCTGTGTGGCCAGCAGCAGAAGGTATCTATTGATACCTTAAGAGAAATGTGTGCAAAATGTTTGTGCGTGTGTATGTGTGTTTAAAGCCTTTTATGGGTCTGTTTTGATTCTCAATCTGTGCTGATTAAAAAGGATGATCAGAAACAGAAACAAAAGCTACCTCTAAAAGGAGATTTAATCCTCGAGAAAAAGAAGTACTTCATTTATCGCAACTGTACTTATCTCACACAGAGCAAGGGGATTATGTGATAGCTTTTGTGTTCACAGTGATTGTGGCGAGACAGTTGCTAACATAATAGACTTGCTGGCCTGCCGAAACCAAAACATTTTTTTAACAGTCATTCAGACTTTGCATCTGACTTCCAAGGAGTGTGTTGGTTTCAACAAAAAATTGGTCTGCCCTCTTGTTTGAGGAAAGGGGGTGAAGTATTCCCCCATAGGGATGCGGGTGGCGCTGTGGTCTAAACCAGGGGTCAGCAAACTTTTTCAGCAGGGGGCCGGTCCACTGTCCCTCAGACCTTGTGAGGGGGCCGGACTATATTTTTTTAAAAAATAACAAATTTCTATGCCCCACAAATAACCCAGAGATGCATTTTAAATAAAAGCACACATTCTACTCATATAAAAACATGCTGATTCCTGGACTGTCCACGGGCTGGATTTAGAAGGCAATTGGGCCGGATCCAGGCCCCGGGCCTTAGTTTGCCTACCCATGGTCTAAACCATCGAGCCTCTTGGGCTTGCTGATCATAAGGTTGGCAGTTCGAATCCCCGCGATGGAGTGAGCTGCCGTTGCTCTGTCCCGGCTCCTGCCAATCTAGCAGTTCAAAAGCACGCCAGTGCAAGTAGATAAATAGATACCGCTGTGGCGGGAAGGTAAACGGTGTTTCTGTGCACTCTGGCTTCCGTCACGGTGTCCTGTTGCGCCAGAAGTGGTTTAGTCATGCTGGACACATGACCAGGAAAAGCTGTCTGCAGACAAACGCTGGCTCCCTCTGCCTGAAAGCGGAGATGAGCACCGCACCCCAAAGTCAAATTCCACTGGACTTAACCGTCCAGGGGTCCTTTGCCTATTAGACACAACATCGATGGTGTGGCGGTGACAATGCAGGCTTCAGCCCCTCTCCCGAATGTAGCAGTCTCCCCACGTATGCCTCCACCAGCGGTGGTAGAAGCCATAACCTCAATCAGATGTAGCAGTGTTGCATCTCTGTTGATCTTCTTCCAATTTACATCGTGCTTAGAGGAGACCCACTGAAACCAAGAGGCTCAATATAGTCCATGCAGTTTTATTTTTGGCAACGTGCAAAGCAGCCACATTGGGGAGACAGCGCTCAGTCCGCAGCCGAGAAACCCACGCCCACTCCTGTTTGAATGCACACCTGTGTGTCAACATTTGTGCTTACACGCAGGCACGTTTGCAAATTGCATGTCAGCCGGTGTCCTCTGTACGGGGGAGCGTGGTGTAGTAGGTGAAATAGGAATTATTTGATAAGCAATATATTCTATAAACACATTTCTCTAGCTACATTTCCTAGTACAAAGAAAACACTTCTTCAAGAGGGTACATAAAAGTATACACTCAAGCACATTTGAATCAAATAATCAAATACATTTGAAACAAGTGGTTGTAGCATTAAGGTACATTCTCTAGGCGATGAGAGTGGGAGAAAAATACATTTAGATAGAAGATACATTTTGATACATTCAGGAAAAAGATACAGCATTTAGACCAAAGATGTTCTGGAGGTCAATGGAAAGATACAACAAAAAGAAGGTATATTCTTAGTGAATAGTGAATATTCAGAAGATACGTTTCTTGAAGTCCAAGGCACAGCTTACATTCTTGTAGGATATTAAAGCAGAATACTATATATTTGATATTGGTAGGGTCATTTTCCTTTATTCCCCTCTTTGACCCTGATTTTCTTACAACATAGGCGACCACCCTTGCGTGGGAAAAGCACTAAATAAAATCAGGTCCTTGGGGCATCCAAGAAGCCCGATTCAGATTCTTTCAGACCAGACTGGAGTGGCTGAAATCTATTCCAAACCGGATTCACTCCCCAAGTCCATTAAAAAATAAAAAAATGAATCCACTTTGAGAAGCTTTCTCCACCCCACCCAAGAAGGACCTCATGGTGCTCACACACCCCATCTCCTCCCTGTTTCCTTTGTGTCGGCACAAAAGAATTTGGCCTCTGGGATTGGCTGGGAAGAGATCAGTGCAGCCATGTGTAAAGTTTGCAAGGCACGGGAGCAAACGTGTCATTAAACATTAGAAGTCATTCAATCACACCCATGTCTTCATTGACTGAAGGAAAAAGGGGGAGAAGGCGAGTCTCCGTACAACCAGGCGCGGAGAAAGGTGGCTCTCTTCAAAGCTGCCCCTTTCCTTGCTGTCTGCATCGCCTGCTTTCGTGGTGGGTGTTTGAGGAGCAGGATCTGCTTCTTCCAATTCTGCTTTGTGTTTCCTCCTTCCACGACGATCTAGGTTACATAACCCGCTTCCAGGGAAACTCAGCAATTTGCTTCAACAAATAGAGTGAAAAGGTGAAGTGCCCTGATCCGAACGGTTAAGTCAGCTCCCAGCTATTTTTAAACTTGCGGTTGGCCTTCCTGAATACCTGCGTGCCTGTGATGTCAGCTTAGGCCCAGGGAGAGAAAACTTAGCAGGCAGCGAAGAAGAGGGATGGCAACCGGCGTATTATTGTTTCCGTGCGCAGAGAGAGAGAGAGAGAGAGAGAGAGAGAGAGAGAGGAAGGAGGGAGAGAAAAAGAGAGTCTTTTTTCCCATAGATTAAGTGGGAGGGGAAAAATAAACAAGACGGCAGGAGGAAAATGAACACGGAACAATTATAATAAGAGATGTCTTAATTGCCTCTGGCACAAAATAAGAGCTCTGCGAGATGTTGGAGGCAGGCGCCACCTGCCGGCTACAAGGGGCGTTTTCGGAAAACATCAGGAACAGAATTGAAAGTTGGACAGCCAATGTTTGAGCTGGGCAGATGCTGTGCATTTAAAGTGCACACATTCCCCAAGGAATCACTCCTCACAGAACTACAGTTCCCAGCGGCCCTTAATGAACTATACCGTTCCCAGAGTTCTTTGCCAGTGTAGAAATGTGCTTTGAATATGTCGTGTTTAGGGAGCCCAAATGTTGCGCTGCAGAACATAGGAAGCCATACTGTCAGAGCTGCTTCCAGATCCTAGCTCACAGAGGATCACGCTAGCCAGCGATCATTAAACAAAAGTCTTTATTGAGTTACAGTTTCCATTCTCAAACTGCTGCGTGCAACTCTACGTCTCATGGTTAGACCGGCGAAGCTCCGTCTGAGTCTCCGCCCCTTGTACACCAACTTAATATCCTAGCCCTGCTCCACCTTTTCCGCCTGACTATTCTTCTCTGGGTCCCTCTGCCCCCTGGGGTCTCTTCTTTCCGGGATTCCTCTGACGCTGACGCTGACCCCCCTGACTCTTCTCCCTCCTTTCGGCGGGCTTTAGGACCTGGCTCCCTTTCCGGGCTGCCTACTGTGCCACCTTCCTGTGCATTTGAACTGGGCGCGCGCGCCCAACCTTCCTCCTTCCTTCTGACCGTTTCTTCGCTCCCCGATGGAGGTGTGGCCACTCCTGACGCGTGCCCTCCCCCTGTTGTGAGGCTGCCAGCGCTTGATCGCTGGCTCCCTTCCTCTTCCCTGCCCTCTGGCGGGGACGCTGGTCCCGATTTCCAACTGCTCCCCTCTGAGTCCCCTCTGGCTCTATCTTCCTGGGGCGTCCCCTAGGCTCCCCCTTGCCCTGGCCACTGGTGCTCCTTTCTGTGAATCTTCTGATTCACTGGAAAGACTCGGAGATCTCGGGTCGTCGTCATCACTCATCTTTTCTTCTGCCTCCTCCCCCTCGCTCTCTGTTTCCTCCCTTGCCCTTGCCTCTGCTCCTGAACCCCTGACACATACCCTCCAACATTTCTCCGATAGAAATAGGAACGTCCCATTCCATAATGATAATTTTACTATTTATACCCCACACATCTTACTGGGTCGCTCCAGCTGCTCTGAGCAGCTTCCAACATATATAAAAAACATAATAAAACATTAAACATTATTTTTTAAAAAAAACTTCCCTATACAGGATTGCGTTCAGACAGCTCAGGGGTGAGATAACGCCATACCCTCCAACGTTTCTCTGATGAAAACAGGGACATCCTGCTATACCCTCCAACATTTATTCAGTGAAAATAGGGACATCCTAAGGAAAAGTGGGACATTCCAGGATCAGATCAGAAACTGAGACAGTTTCTCTGAATCAGGGACATCCCTGGAAAATAGGGACACTTGGAGGGTCTGTGTGCTTTCCACTATTTTCAGCTAGAAAATACAGGGTTTCAGGCAGGACAGTTTTCCGGCCCTACCTGTGGATGCCAGGGATTAAATTTGGGACCTTCTGAATGCAAATCCCCTTCCCCTTCGTTTATCAATGCCCTTCTTAAAATGTGACACGTGCACACCAGACCTGGACACAGTATTCCAGATGTAGCCTGACATAGGAAGATACCTGCTGGATCAGAACCGAGAAGCACCACAATTCCAACAGCAATACCCAAGAGATACTTTGAGGAAACCGCCAAGGAGAGCTCAAGGGCGAAAAGCTTCAGTTGCAGGAGATTAGGAATCTTTCTTTGATTGCTTTGGGGATTTGATTTCAGTTGCTTCTTGCAAGGATCCCCTTAAAGCAGGGGTCTTTTTCTCTGGTCCCATATATCTAGACTACGTTAGGCATCATAAATTGGAGAAACAGAGATTAGTGAGCAGGGAGAAGGTTAAACTCATCGCTGAGATCTTTTGGACTTATTGCTTTGTCACCTGAAGGCTACCGGAGTCATTTGTTGATTCTAGCTGCATGCTGATGCTATCTTTTCTGTTGAGTTGATGTACAAGCTTGAAAGGGGATCAAAGCTCAGTGGCGCAGAACACATGTTTTGCACGGGGGAGAGCCCTGAAAGCACAAGTCGGGGAGCTGTTAACCGACCAGGGATCCCAGGCATGTTGTTGAAAAGCACAGGTTAACTCTGACCCTGAGATTCCCTACCCCTGGGCTCCTACACTGACGATTCAAACCCAGCGTCCTACGTGGAAAGCTCAAGTGTTGTACCTGGTATCTTCTGCATTTGAAAGCATGAACAGTGGTACCTCGGTTTATGAACTTAATCGGTTCCGGAAGTCCGTTCTTAAACCAAAACCGTTCTTAAACCGAGGCGTGCTTTCCCGAATGAGGCCTCCTGCCGCCGGTGCCCTTCCACCGTTCGGCTTCCGTTCTTAGACCGAGGTAAAGTTCGCAAACCGGGACACTACTTCCGGTTTTGCAGAGTTCGTAAACCGAATGGTTCGTAAACAGGGCTGTTCTTAAACCGAGGTACTGCCACTGTACTCTCCCACTGAATGCGAGGAGAAAGATGGCACAATGTAAAACCTCTGGGTGCCCGACAGTTACACAGTTCCTAAGAATAACTGCTGCCCCATGTTGTCTTTTTTTTCTCCCTCCCACCCACCCCTCTTTTTGGATTGCTGGAACGAACTGAGGATGGCCTCAGCAGGACAAAATGTAGCTATGATCTCACTGTCAGGCCTTGAGCACGAGAAGAATGTGTAATGAAACGCTGGCATGCATACCTGTGGTTGGGGTGACTGAAAAGAGAGAGGGAAGCGAGCAACTTTTTCTGTTGTTAATTTCCAAACTCTGCAAAAGAGGACAATCACCAGTCAGGCATGTATTATATCAGGCCTCAAATATCTTTTTATTTACTGTAAGGTGGGAAAGATAATTTTACCTCCCGCTTTCTCCTCCACCTCCTCCCTGCTTTTTAAAAGACAATTCCTTTCAGCCACATTTTCTCCCTTCCCTGGAAGAAATTGTGCATGATTATGGCAAAGAGGCAGCGTAAATGAAACAACTGAGTCATGCTAACACACATTACTCATGGCTCGAGTAATCTTTCCTTCTCTATCTCAGTTCCTCCGTGCCGTATAAAAGATTACTTTAATCTCTTAAGAACATGACAGTGTCAGAATATTTTCTTTCTCTCTCCGCTCCTTTCTTGTTCACCTACACACACACACACACACACACACACAAGTATCATTTCATTACGTTTTTTAAAATTATATTTCCGTGCTGCTTTTCACTGACACAAATCACAAAGCTGCTCACATGCAATAACAATAATAAGAACACCACAGTTGCAACATGAATCACATAGAATAATCAACCATCCATTGGTAGTAATTACAAGTCGTCAGCAAAACAGCCCCCTTCTATAAAACACTATTAACAAAACAACTAAAAAAATAAGCTTAGCAGCACAACCACAACAAAAGTCATGTTATAAGGTTCACAAAGCACTACAGCACTCATAATCCACAAAACAATATTAGCGACATGAACCAACTAACAACTGAAAACAAACCAAGCATGGCCCTTCCTGTCCTCCACCCAGGCAAGTGAGAACCATAGAATAGCAAAGTGTGGAAGCTACCCAGGGGTCATCTAGTCCAACCCTCTTGTAATGCAGGTATCCCAGCTAAAGCATCCAAGACAGGTGGCTATCCAGCCTCTGCTTTAAAACCTCCAAGGAAGGAGAGTTCACAACCTCGCGAGGGAAGCTCTGTCGAACTGCTCTTATCATCAGAAAGTGCTTCCTGGTGTTTAGTCGGAAGCTCCTTTCCTGTAACTTGAAGTTGAAGCCATTGGTTCAAGTCCTAGCCTCCAGAGCAGGAGAAAACAAGCTTGCTCCATCCTCTGTGGGACAGCCCTTGGGATATTAGAATCATTATGAAGGATACTTTCCAGCCAGGCAAATATACTCTCAGAGATTTAGAAGCAAGGCTGGGAAAAGTTGTGGCCTGAGGGGTAGCAAGGTCCAGATCAAAATACTTGGAGGGTTTCTTTTGGCTCCTGGGCTTGTGATTCTCCATTGCTGGTGCAAACTGTGGAACAAGAAGGACCTTTGGTCTGGCTCAGCAAAGAACCAGTGTTCCGACTCAGCTTTCTATATTCCCATGAGACCCCTTGGTTTTAACTGATCTTATGGTAAAGGTAACCCAGGGACGCGGGTGGCGCTGTGGGTAAAACCTCAGCGCCTAGGATTTGCCGATCGCATGGTCGGCGGTTCGAATCCCCGGGGCGGGGTGAGCTCCCGTCGTTCGGTCCCAGCTCCTGCCCACCTAGCAGTTCGAAAGCACCCTTAACTGCAAGTAGATAAATAGGTACCGCTTTATAGCGGGAAGGTAAATGGCGTTTCCGTGTGCTGCTCTGGTGCCGGTTCGCCAGAGCAGCTTCGTCACGCTGGCCACGTGACCCGGAAGTGTCTGCGGGCAGCACTGGCTCCCGGCCTCTAGAGTGAGATGAGCGCACAACCCTAGAGTCTGTCAAGACTGGCCCGTACGGGCAGGGGTACCTTTACCTTTTTATGGTAAAGGTATAGGGACCCCTGACCATTAGGTCCAGTCGCAGACGACTCTGGGGTTGCGGCGCCCATCTCGCTTTACTGGCTGAGGAGCTGGAGTACAGCTTCCGGGTCGTGGCCAGCATGACTATGCCGCTTCTGGTGAACCAGAGCAGCACACAGAAACGCCATTTACCTTCCCACCGGCGCGGTACCTATTTATCTACTTGCACTTTGACGTGCTTTCAAACTGCTAGGTTGGCAGGAGCAGGGACCGAGCAACGGGAGCTCACCCCGTCACGGGGATTCGAACCGCCGACCTTCTGATCAGCAAGCCCTAGTCTCTGGTTTAGACCACAGCACCACCCGCGTCCCTCGATCTTATGGTACCCTGCCCTGATATCACTCTCTGGTGAGGGGCAGCTTTAAAACATTTGAGATAGATGAAGAAAAGGCATCTTGCAAAACAAAACAAAAATCTCTAGGAAGGTGGAATTGGGACATTGACTTCCCACGGAGAGGGATACCCAGAAAGCTGGGCTCTCCTCCACCCCACTTCCCAGCGCAGTGGGTCTTTCCTTCTCCTGAGTTGGTGGGAGGAACACACCTCAATTTGCAAGGGGCCGCAACAGACAACACAGCCACGCTCTGGAAGCCTCTGCAAGGAAGCTCCTGCCAAGTCAGAGCGGTGACTTTGTGGGGATCACGGTTGGATCTGTGCCTCTTGGAGGCCTTCCCAAACCTCAGACAAGGAACCTTTTGGGAACGTTGTCTGAGGTTTCTCAGCCCCCAGATCTGACCTAAAATGACATTTAGGTCAGTCAAACTCTCGTCCTGAGTTTTTGCTTTAATTACCGCACAGTTTCAGTGGGGTTCTTCCTATTTCATATTTTAATTAGGGATGTTTGTGTTTTAATGCTTGGCTCATTGAATTCCATCCTTGTTTGTTTGTTTTTGTTTTTTTAATTAAATTTTTATTCAGTTTTCTTTTTCATTCGTTACATACATCTCATATCCGTAACATTTTCTGTTCATTCCTTCCTCCCTCCCCTCCTAGGCTTCCCCCAACTTCTGCTTCCGGTTTGTTTCTGCTTTCACCCACCTTGATACCTAATAAAAGAAAAAATATTAATAGTATACTTACACAATAACATCTGAACTATAAACATAAAAATGAAAATAAGTACACCATATTATTTCCCTATCTTCGACACATTTTCTAATACAGTGGTACCTCGGGTTAAGTACTTAATCCGTTCCAGAGATCCGTACTTAACCTGAAACTGTTCTTAACCTGAAGCACCACTTTAGCTAATGGGGCCTCCTGCTGCTGCTGTGCCGCCAGAGCATGATTTCTGTTCTCATCCTGAAGCAAAGTTCTTAACCTGAGGTACTATTTCTGGGTTAGCGGAGTCTGTAACTGGAAGCTTATGTAACCTGAAGCGTATGTAACCCGAGGTACCACTGTACTAATGATGTGAATGTTTATTTAAATCCTGCCATCAGGTCTATAGACTTTGTTTGTTTCTGCTTAGAATCCTGTCTTGGTAAGGTAAAGGTAAAGGGACCCCTGACCATTAGGTCCAGTCATGGCCGACTCTGGGGTTGCGGCGCTCATCTCGCTTTATTGGCCAAGGGAGCCGGCGTACAGCTTCCGGGTCATGTGGCCAGCATGACCAAGCTGCTTCTGGCGAACCAGAGCAGCGCACGGAAACGCCGTTTACCTTCCCCCTGGACCGGTACCTATTTATCTACTTGCGCTTTGACGTGCTTTCGAACTGCTAGGTTGGCAGGAGCAGGGACCGAGCAACGGGAGCTCACCCTGTCATGGGGATTCGAACAGCTGACCTTCTGATCGGCAAGTCCTAGGCTCTGTGGTGTAACCCACAGCGCCACCCGCGTCACAAATGAGTTTCCATTATATACCTTGTGGTTAAATTGTGCGTCACCAGCAAACGCAAATATCATGTGGGTCCCAGCCGACTGTGTTACACTCAATGTATAAGGGAAAGGATCTGTTATTTGAGTCCATTGCTTTTCTTGGGGCCTGTGGTGAGTAAGACTGACATTGGCCACAACCCTGTGACCAATAGACCCGTAGAATCGTAGCAGGGGTATGGCATGGGCGAGCAAGAGGAATGGCAAGGGAGCTGAGATTGTGGCAGTGGGTGGGAGCTGAGCAGGGGAGCAGTGTGGCAGTGCAGGTGGCGGCAGCGAGCAAGCTGGGTTTGCAGTGACCTGGCAGGTGGAGCAAGGGGTGTGGTGCAGTAGCACAGGTGGCCAGAGTCAGTGAGGTATCTGGGCTTGCAGGGGTGCAACAGGTTGAGCAAGGAGTGGCACAGGTGAGCTGCAGAGGTTTGGTGAGAAAAGGGAGAGGTTTGGGAGGGAAAAGGCTTGGGCAAAGGACTAAGGGTAGGGGGCTTTGGTGGTAGGGGGTGGTGGAGGTTGGAGAGGGGTTGGCAAGCAAAGTTTGGGGGGAATTAGCCCCTAGAATGTAAGTATGTGTTTATAAAGATATATACAGTGTTACCTCAGTTCTCGAACGAAATCTGTTCCAGAAGCCCGTTCAAAAACCAAGTTGTGGCTTCCCATTGATTGCAAGAGCTTCTTGCCCTCAGCAGAAGCTGCGTAGCACATTCGGCTTCTGAAAAACATTCGAAAAAGGAAGCATTTGTGAAATATACTTGGAGTCGAGAGTGGATTTCTTGCTCATAGTGGTGAGGAGGAATGGAAGTTCCCCCAGAATGTCTGCTTTATAGACATTATTTACACAATGGGCCCCACATGATGGGCTAATTCCGGGATTCTCCTGTAGGCCAATCAGGTTGCGGATTCACTTCCACCTGGAGCTGGATTGGGTGGCTCCTGTGGACCAATCAGACTGCTGCATTCTGAATCCTATTGTTCTAAGACCAATCAGACTGCTGCATTCTGAATCCTATTGTTCTAGGACCAATCAGACTGCTGCATTTTGGATCCGATTCAACTCAGTACATAACAATTTACTTCTGGGTTTTTGGCATTCGAGAACTGAAATGTACGACAACGGAGGCATCCGGGAACTGAGGTTCCACTGTAGTGCTATATCTCAAAGTCAGCCCTGTACCCCACAACCTCACTGTGGTTAAGTGAGGACGGAGATATTAATTTTCCAATCAGAAATTGCTCTCTGATGCCACCATTTCCACCTGCTGTCTTTCAAAAAGTAATAGCGTCAGGGATGGGGGATTTTTGGTGGCAAAGTAGTTAAAACCCTTCTTCCTTGCTGCACCCCAGTTTGTTAAGAAAGTAAAACAGATCATCACCAGTTACAAGCCTGCGTATTGAAGAAGACACTAAGCAAAGCACATGTTTTGTCTTTTAAGATTTAGGGGCAGGTAGTAGCTCACTAGGAGGGACGCGGGTGGCGCTGTGGGTTAAACCACAGAGCCTAGGACTTGCCGATCAGAAGGTCGGCGGTTCGAATCCCCGCGACAGGGTGAGCTCCTCTTGCTCGGTCCCAGCTCCTGCCAACCTAGCAGTTAGAAAGCACGCCAAAGTGCAAGTAGATAAATAGGTACCGCTCCAGCAGGAAGGTAAACGGTGTTTCTGTGCGCTGCTCTGGTTCACCAGAAGCGGCTTAGTCATGCTGGCCACATGACCCGGAAGCTGTACGCTGGCTCCCTCGGCCAATAAAGCAAGATGAGCGCCGCAACCCCAGAGTCGGCCATGACTGGACCTAATGGTCAGGGGTCCCTTTACCTTTACTAGTAGCTCACTGGCAGAGCCTCTGCATTGCATACAGAAACTCCCAAGTTCAATCTCTGGCACCTCCAAGTAGGGCTAAGAGAGACCCCCTGGCTCTGCTGCCAGTCAGCGTAGGAAATATTGAGGTGGATGGACCAGTCATCTGACTTGATAAAAGGCAACTTCCTGTATTCCTATGATTCTTGCTTTCAGACACTTTTACCCAGAGAAAGTGATGAAATGTTGGCCCACGGGAATTCAGAAGTGTGTGTTGTCGTGGACATTTTATAAAATAAAATAAAATAAATGCAGCCCTGTTTGATTGCGCATGGGCACCCTGTAGCCCAGACAGGAAATATGTCAGACTGCCCCGGCAGGAGGCTGCACTGAGCACGTGCAGAAGTGAACAAGACACCACTTCATGATTCATCACGGCCAACCTTTGTCCGCCTTTCAAGGCTTGACAAGGCTGGTGATGAAGGGCTGCTTTGCTGTTGCTACATGATCGCAAGAGCAAATCTGGAGCTTAAGGAAAGACGCAACTCTCTCTCTGGGGTCCCGATTATCTATCCGCCATCTATTTCACAGGCTTCGATATAGTCTTAATCACCAAGGTTTCTAAGCGGTGTACATAAAAAAATGTACAAAAAAGCATATGCAACAGATAAAATCAATTCTCATAAAGAGAGAAAAGGACCTTGAATGCCTACTGGAATAGAAAGTTCTTTGTCAAACACCTAAAATTCAGCAGGGAGTTGGGGGCTGGTTCAGTCTTAGCCGGGAGGGAGCTCCACCAAGTCAGACCCACAACACTGAATATATGGCTTCTGGTGGTTATGAGCTGAGCATCTGAGCCATGCAGAGTCGCAGGGTCAGAGACGTGTGTGTGTGCTGCCCAGCTTATATGAAAAAAAGCAAAGTGCGGTAGTTTCTGGAGAAATGAAATAATTTTTATTCCTTAGTTTTGCCATAAACTTCATAGCAGTGAGTGGGGGACATCTGCACTGTCTGTGCAAAGTGAAACCAGATGAATCCCATTACAGGATATAAAAAGACAACAATATTAAAGGAAGAGCGTAGCTTGGAAATGGAATGCAAAGCCAATCTGTTTAGCCATAATTTTCCTTTCAAAATACTTTAAGGAGGACGGTAGTTTGCACAGGACCTTAGCAAACAGCAACCTTAAAATAGCTTGCAACCTAAGATTAATCAGTCACTCACTTTATAAAACGTCTATTTAAACAATTGCTCTCACCCCTGCTGTGTACCCATCTGTACTGGTTCCTCTTTGAAAATGGACTTTTCAAATCTGATTCAGGGGCACCATTAGATGGAGACAAAAGGAGCCCACTGTTGGTCACTGCTTGGACCAGGAGGTCAGTTTTGTCCCGTTCCATCAGTTTCCCCAACTGTGAGACATTTAGGGCTCATCCCTACTTCTGCTTGTCCCATGACTATAAAGCACAGGTCGGTCGGTTTCCCCCCGCTGTGCTCCTTTCCCATGGAAAACCCACTCTTTAGTGCTAAATTGGAGCAAATGTCAATCTGGATAAACCCTGAATTGCCATTTGTTCCGGCTGAGTGCAAAAGAGCAGTTTTCTCCAGGGGGGATCAGCAGGACCTGAGGAAGTGTGGATGAGCCCTTAGTTTGCCCCATTGAGAACTAAAGGTTCCTTGACTAGAATGAGCTGCCTTGTTAACTACCTAGCCCTGTCCATGGTTCTGTTTCTTGGTCACAGTAGAGTGTGACAGAGTTAGAAAAAAAAAATTGAGAGAGAGAAAGAATATATTTTTGTGGTTTAATTTTTTTTTATTTTTAAATGGCTTATAATGTTGTTTTTTAAATTGTTGCTACCTGCCCTGGGATCTTAGGGTGATGGGTGGGTAATTAATTAACACAAACAACAAGCAATGGTACAGGTTGCCTAGCGAAGCACTGGGATTATCTGTTGGGGAAGCCAAAGTTGCATCTTGCATAGTAGATCCTGCATTGATCAGGAGGTTAGACCAGATGATTTACACAATCCCTTCTGACTCTATAATTCTAGTACTTTTGGGATGTGTTACAGTCTCTGGGCACAGATACACATTGCACCCTAATTTCAGATCCTTGGCAGTGACCATCAAGCACAACCCTGCATTGAGCTCTGTCTGTAGGCCATGCTAGAGTATAATAGGGTGTCGGCAGAGCTGGGAGGAATACTGGGAAATGGCTTGAGACAAATACAGTGGTACCTCGGGTTAAGTACTTAATTCATTCTGGAGGTCCGTTCTTAACCTGAAACTGTTCTTAACCTGAGATACCACTTTAGCTAATGGGGCCTCCCGCTGCTGCCGCACGATTTCTGTTCTCATCCTGAAGCAAAGTTCTTAACCTGAGGTACTATTTCTGAGTTAGCGGAGTCTGTAACCTGAAACGTATGTAACCTGAAGCATATGTAACCCGAGGTACCACTGTAATGAGCGAGCGAAAGGATAGCAAATAGACAGAGAAGTTCTCCACCCCACAGAGAAGAAAGTTTCAGAAGTGGTCATGCTGCAGTAACTGTGTGGATGGTTTCTGTTGATGTAGCCATTGCTATATAATTACACTTATTTCTACAAACAGCTATGGCGACGCTCCTGTAAGCTCCTGTTAGAAACCCAAGGTTTTCTGCTGCAACCACAGGAGTAGTCCTGTAATTTTCCCTGTGCTTCTCTTAATTCCCTCATCCGAGTTTCTGCTGCAGCTGAACGAAGAAGGCCCCATCTTTTAATCAGCCTCCAAAAGCCTGAGGAAGCCCTGGTTTTCCATTTTTGCCCATGCGCATCTTTGCGAACCTTTATCTTCCTCTTTTCTTCTTCTTCTTTCTTCTGCAGGATCAACACTCCGTGCTGAGCCAAAGCGCAGGCCCCAATCCAACGTCAAACGCTTGCACGAATCCAAATGCCGCGAGCAGCTACATGAACTCACCTCAGCAAGCTCTGCTGAATCAGCAGCTGAAGCAACAACTCCTTCTGCAACACCAGCAGCAGCAGCAGCAACAACAAAAGATACTAACTGAAGCAGTAAATTTTCAGATTCCCTATTTTATTTTCTATGTAAATCGGTGTCATGTAGAATTCAGAAGGTGGTATTGCGAAAACAGCTACTGGGTCATTCTTAAGTCTGCCCATTTCACCTGCTCTGCTTGTATTTGGAGGGTGAGGGAAGCTCCCACAGGAGCAAATGGGAGCTTTTGTTTTCCATGGGAGTGTTTTTTTTCCAATGGGAGCTTTTCCCCCCAACACAGATTGCAAGCGTGGGGTGCCATTTCTTGATCAGGAACACAGTGGGTGGCAGAGGGTTGAAGGCCCACCCCCATGCCCTATGCTAGGGTCCCAATCCAGACAGTTAAAGTGCAAATAGATTCCCTGAACCAATTGCACATGGGAACAATTCCCACAACAGACCCTCCCATGGATTTAGAGTAGTGCAAAACCACAGCCAGTGAGTGTGGGTATTGGGGTGTGCTGTCTAGGTTAAACTTCATGCGCAATGCAAAGCTGTCATACTCTGAGTCAGACCTCCGCCTTGTCCTCTCGACACTTCCCGGTGTCTTGTATTTTTATTCTTATTTTTCAAATAATTTTCATTTGATTTTACAAGTATAGAGTTACAACAACACAAAATACATATCCATATTTGGAGATTTCTCGACTTCCCACATTCCCCTCCACAGGTCCTATTATAAACCTTTTCAACTGCATATTATTTCATCGTCCAAATTTTATATCTCTCCAGTTTATCCTTAATATCATCTACATTACAAGTGTTATTGCAACCCTACTAATTTTTTCATCTGCTTACTGTAGTCTCTCAAGTAAATTATGAACTTTTCCCATTCTTTATTGAAGTTTTGGTCTTCTTGGTTCCTGAGCTTTTCGGTCAGTTTTGCCATTTCGGCATAATCCAACAGCTTAGTTTGCCGTTCTTCCCTGATAGGGACTTTGTCTTCTGTCCATCTTTGGGCTTGTAGCATCCGTGAGCCTGTCGCTGCGTACATAGAAAGTCTTTTCTGCTCCTTTGGTTCCTGGCGCCTTGTGGAGTTGCCTGGAGGTCCTTTGAATTGGGGATGCAAAGGAATTAAACCTGCCAGACCTTTTGCATGTGGAGCCTCTGTTTGTTTGTTTTTTGCCACCGAACGTTCCAACCTTGCAGTGATTCCTCAGTGCAGGTTCGCAGCCTGACACAGGGCAGTTGGGGAGGCTGTATGTTCAGCCATAAGGAAAGCAGGTTACAGGGCAGCCAAGTTGCTGGCGCACAGCAGCAAAGTTCCATTTCCTTCCTCAGCAGATGCTGGCAGCGCACAGGGACCACCCATGCTGAGTGCCTGCATACCTTCAGGCGACACTTTCTCTGCTTACTGGAAACCTCTTGCAGACTGCAGAGCTGGGCCGAAAATCCCTTCCTTCTGTAGGAAGAGAGAACTCCTTTTGACAATCTGCTGAGAGGGAAAGAGAGGGAGAGTTACGGCATTCGAAAAACCACTTTTTAGCCAATTCGTGCTGCTGGCTTCTCCCCTCTCCCTTTTTTTTGGGGGGGGAGGGGGTGTTAGCAGGGAAGCCTTGCCAAGTATGTCAGAAGTAGGCATGGATCTTGGCAGCCAGTAGACCAAAGTCCCAGATCCAGCTGGCTTTCTGGAAGCCACCCTCTCTTTTTTTGTACCCCATCTGCAGGCAGTATGGGGATAATAAGGCTGGTCTACCTTGTAAGGTAGGGGACGCGGGTGGCGCTGTGGGTTAAACCACAGAGCCTAGGGCTTGCCGATCAGAAGGTCGGCGGTTCGAATCCCCGCAACGGGGTGAGCTCCCGTTGCTCGGTCCCTGCTCCTGCCAACCTAGCAGTTCGAAAGCACATCAAAGTGCAAGTAGATAAATAGGTACCGCTCCAGCGGGAAGGTAAACGGCATTTCCATGCGCTGCTCTGGTTCACCAGAAGCGGCTTAGTCATGCTGGCCACATGACCCGGAAGCTGTACGCTGGCTCCCTCGGCCAATAAAGCGAGATGAGCACCGGAATCCCAGAGTCATCTGCGACTGGACCTAATGATCAGGGGTCCCTTTACCTTTACCTTACCTTGTAAGGTTGTTGTAAAGCATGGATAGGGGACCAGTTGTTGTCGTCATTGGGCATGATGACTGGAGCTGGTGGAAGATGGCGTCTCAACACCATTTGGAGAGCCTCAGGTTAGACAGTGGAAAGGACTCCCTTGGGAGGTGGGAGGTTTTTAAGCAGCGGTTGGATGGCCATGTTTCATGGATTCTTTAGTTTACTTCATTGCAAAGGGTTGGACTAGATGACCCTAAGGGTCCCTTCCAACTCTACAGTTCCATGATCCCTGTTGCGAAAGTTACTGAAATAATTGTGTGTAGTGTTTAGAACACAATTGCTGGGTATAGGTTTATTATTCTGTCCAGATTTGGCAGCAAGGGGAGTGTTTTTCTAAGGCTAATAATGGCACAGTTTTCATTAGAATTGTGACTGGGGGTGGAAGGGTTAAAAATTTCCTTCCCCCCCCCTCCCTATGTCTTGATGAAAATAGGGAGGCCCACTACATTTATAATTAAAACTTTAAAAACCTAATGCAGTTGGTAACTGTGCCCTTAGAATCACATATAGTTTTGTCTCAAGTTTTGTATTCTCTAGCATTTTCCCTAGATTTGAAGCATACAGCCAACAGTAGTAGTAGTAGTTGTTGTTATTGTTATTGTTATTGTTATTAGTAGTAGTAGTAGTAGTAGTAAAGGTAAAGGGACCCCTGACCATTAGGTCCAGTCGTGGCCAACTCTGGGGTTGCGATGCTCATCTCGCTTTATTGGCCGAGGGAGCCGGCGTGACTAAGCTACATCTGGCAAACCAGAGCAGCACACGGAAACGCCACTTACCTTCCCGCTGGAGCGGTACCTATTTATCTACTTGCACTTTGATGTGCTTTCGAACTGCTAGGTTGGCAGCAGCAGGGACCGAGCAACGGGAGCTCACCCCGTCACGGGGATTCGAACCGCTGACCTTCTGATCGGCAAGCCCTAGGCTCTGTGGTTTAACCCACAGCACCACCCGCGTCCCATTATTATTAGTAGTAGTAGTTAAATGCCTCCCATCTGACTGGGGTGCCCCAGCCACTATGGGTGGCTTCCAGCAAAATATAAAAAGCACAATCAAACATTTATTTATTTATTTATTTTAAATGATATTTATTGAGAAATTTTTTAAAATTACACAAAAGATAGAAACAAGACAAAAAAAGAAAAAGAAAAAGTAAAACCATCATTCTTCAATTTTCCACTTTCAGTACCTTCTTTCCTTGACCTCCTCCTCCTCCCTTTTCCTGTATCCTGATTTATAATAATCACAGCAAATCCTTTCCATAATTCATAATATTCTGTCCTCACATTACCTTAATCTATTTTCATCTTATCTTATATATAGAAAAGTTTAGAACTTAAATCTTAATTTTTACCAACTTCTCCTAACCATAGCATTCTTACCTAATTCTTTAAACATTTTTATAAGAGCCAAATAATTTCATTTCAACATTTTCCTAACATTCATCAATTTTGTAAAACAGTCCTAATGATAAAAACAGTCCTAATGATAAAAAATAGAAAATTAAGCAATCCAATCTTCATCCAGCGTCCCTTCCTCCTGGTCCCGGATTTTGTCAGTCCTTTTTGTCCTATTAATCTAGCACATTAACCTGGCAATCTTATATCCGAGGCCCTCAAGTCTCTTCCATGTCCCTTCCGCAACTCTTCTTCATATTTTCCTTTTATTCGTGGGAACTCCAGCTTGGTAATATTTTTGACCCTTTTCAACAAAACAGTCCCTTTTCCATAGTCCAGACTAGACTCGATGTAGTATTTAAAAACATGTTCCAGATTCCCTTCAAAGTTGAGAGCCCCCACTGCTCCAGACATCTGACGGCCCCTTTCCAGACTCGAAAAGTCCAAATCTCCCTGTATAGGGGGGTCTATCCGACCCCCCATTTCCAAACCAAACCAAATTTTATCTTTCCAAGTCTGGTCTTTTCCAAGTTCATTTGTCAAATCCAAAAATTTATATTCCTGCTGGGCCGCAGCTCCTTCCGTCTCTGGCGCCCAAGATTCAGCAGAATCCTCTTCTCTCAGCTGTTCTGTCATGGCACGCTCCTGTTTTAAAGCTTCACTATACACAACCCTGATCCTCTCTTTGCTGACCCAACCAGTTCCCTGACACCCCGCCTGATGTCATATGGGAAGGCGGCAGAATCTGCACGTCAGAAACATCTGCAAAACCTCCCCATGCTTCCTTCTGCGCCACGGCCTTGAAACCGGCATCGCAGGAGTCTCCCCCGAATACAAAAGCCGTTCGAGCTGCGTTCACGTTCAGATCGCTCGCCTTTTGGCTAACCAAGAGAATGGGTTCACCTTCTCTTTTCTTTCTAATCCTGTAGGAGAAAATGACTCCGCAAGATCAGCTGAACCGGCACTCGACGAGGCCCCCGCCAGATTATAAAGACCAAAGAAGGAACCCGGTCAACATGCAGCAAACACATCAGTATTCAGGTAAACACGCTTGAAGGCAGCAGTAAACAAGAGGACAGCTGCCAATGACTCAACTGGTTTTGAGTACAGTTGTACCTTGGTTTTCGAATTTAATCCGTTCCGGGAGTCCATTTGTGTTATGTACAAAGCTCGGATCCTAGAACAATAGGCAAGTAGGATGCTAGAATGCAACAACTGATTGGCTTCCAGGAAAAGACCAATCAGGCTCCAGGAGGAAGTTAATCAGCCTATTAGGCTGGTAGAATCATAGAATGCAACAACTGATTGGCCTGCAGGAAAAGACCAATCAGGCTCCAGGAGGGAAGCAGAATCAGCCAATCAGATGGGACTCATTGTGTAAATAATGTATATAAAAGCCTGAGGTTTGAGGGGCAATTAAATCACTCTCTTACAAGCTGCAATAAAGAGCATGAAATCACTACAGGACTCCTACAGGACTTTCCAATTGGCTGCAGGAGTGTCCTGCAGCCAATTGGAAACCACGCGGACATTCGGCTTCTGAAAATCGTTCAAAAACCGGAACAATCACTTCCAGTTTTTGATTGTTTGTGAGCCGAAACGTTCAAGTTCAGAGGCGTTCGGCTTCCGAGGTTCCATTGTATTGGAAAGGTAGCCCTCTGCCCCAGTGACAGTTTGCAACGTCTTTGGGTTTGGGCCAGTGACCCATCTAGTCCAGCATTCTGCTCTCACAGTGGCCAACCAGATTCCTGCAAGAAGTCCACAAGCAGCACTTGAGTGGGACAACACTCTCCCCTCCTGCTGTTTCAGGGGTGGCAAGTTCCCCCAGAATGTCTGCTTTGTATACATTATTTACACAATGGGCCTCATGTGATTGGCTAATTCCGGGATTCTCCTGTAGGCCAATCAGGTTGCGGATTCACTTCCACCTGGAGCTGGATTGGGTGGCTCCTGTGGACCAATCAGACTGCTGCATTCTGGACCCTATTGATCTAGGACCAATAAGACTGCTACATTCTGAATCCTATTGTTCTAGGACCAATCAGACTGCTGCATTTTGGATCCTATTCAACTCAGTACATAACAGTCTGGCTGGAGGATAGAGAGGGATGTGCATGCATGTATAGAAATTAAGCTACTGTGCAAAGGTAAAATTTGCATCCATCGCTCAGTTCGCTTTTGCCTCTCGCTCCACCCACCACTGGCATTTGTCCCTGAGAAGGGCATGCATCCCTCAGGCAGAAGAAGTCTCCCTGCCCCACTTACAAAGGGTGCATGTGACGGACATCTATTTGCAAACTAAGGGTGCTTGTCTGGAAGCCAGGACTGGTAAACCCTACTCAGACCTTATAAAAATGTGCAGGAATGTTTGCACTGGCTCCATCCCGCCCCACCCCACCCCCCAGCCTCCATGCTTTGGTTTTGTACGCCATTTCCACCCGAATATGCATATGTGCATTTTTATTTTAACTGAAACCGTATTGCAAAATCAACAGACGCGTGCAGTCGGATTGTTAGCTGCATTCCACTCCGTGTGTAAGTCTGGGAGTAGCGAATAAGGTCAATGCACTTGGAAATGCAGACTAAACTAAATCCTCTGCCCTCCCTATCTTGGAGTGGGGGCCCGAGGGGCTGTACCCTTGCGCCAATTGTCATTCCTGGGCGTGAATTTAAAAAACGACACATCCCCCAGTATCACTGACTCACTCCTCTTGGTATCGAAGGTCTGGTAATGTTTTCTGCTCGACACTAATTGGAGTGAAATTTCTCCCCATCTGGTCTAAATCAGTGTGGCCAAAAAAAGGGGGGGAGGGTGCTAAAAATAGCAAGCAGTTCAGAGGGGGGAAAGGAAACTTTGTCTTTGGAGTGAGATAGAAAACCAATGTCCCAACCGCGGTGCCCTTTTAGGGAACTCACGTCTCTTCCCAAAGAATATAGGGCTTGCGAGTCAACATGTTCCAGCTTTGCTTCAAGAGACTCCAAAACTCTTTGGTATCTTTTGCTAGGTCTGGAAGGTTGCTTCATTCCAATGGCGGAGGAGGCAATTCTAGCCAGAATGGTGTAGTGGTTAGGGTGCCATTGAAGCCCACTGGGTGACCTTGGGCCAGTCACTGCCCCTCATTGAACATCCACCGAAGCTGAACTTTGAAGGATTCAGCTCAGATAAAAGTTAAACCAAGGGTGCCAACTTGAATAAAATATTAGGGAGGGACCAGGTAAGCCCACCATGCATAATGGATCACGTGACGCAGTACACACATGCCATTTGAACGGCAACGCCCATCAGCTTCAGGGTGGCCGTCCCCCTCAAATATTTTATTGGGGGCCCAAAGGGACCTTGGCCCCTGGAAACTGCAGGAGGGGAGAGGGATCTTGTGCTCAGGTCCTGGTTGTGAGCTTCCCACAGCCATCCAGTCGGCCACAGTGAAAACAGGGTGCTGGACTAGATGGGACATTCCCCTGACCCAGCAGGCTCTTAGTACATTCTTATATTGCAATCCCATTTCTTAACCTTTTAGCATATATTTGTATGGTGGTGGTGCTGCAGTTGCAGCCCACCTTAGCTCAGGCCACCACCTGGTAGTGGGTCCCAACCCAGCAGCGGAAGACGAGTGCTCTCATTTCCTAATGGGACTGTCAGTTCTGTGTCCAGGGCAGCTGTCTACCAGCTCCATCTGGTACGCAGGCTGAGACCCTACCTGCCCGCGGACTGTCTTGCCATAGTGGTGCATGCCCTGGTTATCTCCCACTTGGACTACTGCAATGCACTGTACGTGGGGCTACCTTTGAAGGTGACCCAGAAACTACAACTAATCCAGAATGCAGCAGTTAGACTGGTGACTGGGAGTGGCCACCAGGACTATATAACACTAAAGGACTTTCATTGGCTCCCAGTGCGTTTCTGAGCACAATTCAAAGTGTTGGTACTGGCCTTTAAAGCCCTAAACAGCCTTGGTCCAGTATACGTGAAGGAGCGTCTCCACTCCCATTGTTCTGCCCGGACACTGAGGTCCAGCGCTGAGGGCCTTCTGGTGGTTCCCTCACTGCGAGAAGTGAGGTTACAGGGAACCAGGCAGAGGGCCTTCTCGGTAGTGGCACCCACCCTTTGGAACACCTTCCCACCAGATGTCAAAGAGAAAAACAACTGCCAGACTTTTAGAAGACATCTGAAGGGAGCCCTGTTTACGGAAGCTTTTAATGTTTAATACGTTATTGTATTTTAATATTCTGTTGGAAGCCGCCCAGAGTGGTTGGGGAAACCCAGCCAGATGGGTGGGGTATAAATAATTTTATTATTATTATTATTTAATGTCTGATGTTTTATTGTGGTTTTAATATTCTGTTGGGAGCCGCCCAGAGTGGCTGGGGAAACCCAGCCAGATGGGCAGGGTATAAATATCGCGATGGTGATTGTGATGATGCTTAGGGACCAACACATAATTCTCTCGTGTTCCAAGGACCTGGCAGGGCTAAGAGAAATGTCCAGAGAGTCGTGCTCCTTTTCCTCCGGTAGGGTTGTGATGGGATTCTGGTGGGAGGGTTTCCCATGGATGCTCTGGCCCGTGCGTCCTGTTCAGAACCTACAACTAGATGATCGATAAGAGATTTTTCTTTCTCCTCCCGCCACCCTTTTCCCAGGTGGATCGCCAGCCGTGAGCGCCAGCTCCAACCTCTGCTTTTCCAACTCAATTTCAACTCCCAGCCTCTCGCCGCAGGCGTCCGGTCTTTTGACCATCACTCACGGAGCCAGAATGCCTTCCCTCCCGACGACACGCCACATGGTCTGCTACGGGAACATTCCTTGCAGCCAACCGAGCGCGTACAGCATGGCTGCCTCGGGTGCAAGCCAAGTGTCGCAGCACAGGAACCCGAACCAAATGATCCCCAGCCAGCAAAGCAATTCAGGAGCACCTCGGCAAGGGCCTCCGGGGCAAGGCAGTAATAATGGCCTGTCGGCGTATGACAGCGGGCCCGGGATCAGCTCTCAGCAAGGCAAACTCAGCTTGAACCAAGGGACTTCTTCTGCGCCAAGGCCTCTGAACGCCATGGTCAACTCCAATTCGGCAACTCAGACCTGGGCCTCACAAGAAACAGGAGCGAAGCAGCAGGAAACACGCAAGGCCGTGGGGTCCCCTTTCCCCACGGGCAGCCCCTATACAAACCAGCCGCTGCAGCGCACACCTGCCCACCAGCAGTTTTCCCAGCGCGCCATGGGGCCTGCTCCTAACCAGTTGGCCGCCCCCCAGATGAGAACACCAACGAGCCAAATGAACCAAACTCTAAATGGGCAAGCGGCTGGGGCACCAAAATCCCTGGGGGCAAGGCCTGGCCAGGTACGGGCTCAGACAGTGCCACACTTAAATGCACCGGGGGTGAGCTTGGCAGCGCCGAACTCCTTGCCGTCAAACCATTTCCCATCTAGTAGTAGCCAGGCTTCTGCCAGGGCCTACCAGGGACCCGACCACACCAGCGACCTGGCGTTTGACTTTCTGAACCAGCAGGGTGACAACATCGGGCCAGCACTCAACAGCGACCCGGACTTCATCGATTCTTTGTTAAAAACAGAGCCGGGTAACGACGACTGGATGAAGGACATCAACCTTGATGAAATCCTAGGTGGCCACTCCTGAGGCTGAGCAGCAGGCAGTTGCAAACTCACGGAACGGGTGGCGGCAGCAGTGGTGTTTGTTTTTTTAAGGCCCGAAAGCCAGGATTGCACTCCGCAAAGTTTTTCAGAGGGAACGTGTCTTTGGAGTGTTTTCAAGAAAACCAAACTTTGCTCTCCCGATGGTTGAAGGGGTTCCACATGGTCCGCAATGAGGAGCAAAATCAAAGAAGTGTCTGCGCCCGTTCAAAATGTGTAGGCCAATCTTCGTACCTAGAAAGCTAAGCAAGAGCACAGGAGGAGACGTTGGTTGCTTGTCCTACTCTTGTGTAGGCTACAGCTTGTGTAGGTGTTCGCTTGGGCGTGCGGACACGCAACCACAGATCTTGAACAGAGAAGAAAAGGTATACCCCACATAACGTCCAGCCTGAGACTGCTGAGTTTATTTATCAGGAGCAGTTGTGAGGAATCAGGAAAGTGCATTGATCGAGTGCATACTTTTTATAGAGAGGGTCACAGCTTTTATTCCTGTCACTGCCAGGTAAGGCAGAATTACCTGTCTGAAACCCTGGAAGGCCACAGATTGCCTGTGTAGACAAAGGCAATACCTTGGTTTTCAAACAGTTTAGTTCCCGAGCGTTTTGGCTCCCATACGTCGCAAACCTGGAAGTGACTGTTCCGGTTTGCGAACGATTTTTGGAAGCTTACTGCAGCCAATCAGAAGCCGCGATTTGGTTTTCGAATGTTTTGGAAGTCGAACGGATTTCCAGAACAGATTCCACATTAACAGTCATGGCTTCCCCCCCTGCCCCCAGGAATCCTGGGAGGTATAATTTGTTAAGGATTCTGGGAGATTCGCCATGGCGAAACTTACCGGAAGAATTAAGAATTAAGAAATCAAGATAACATTTTTTATATATATTAAAGAATGGAAAAGGTTTATTGAATATTTACAGATAAATTGTAAACAGATAAGAACATTGGCAGGATTGTTTTAATAACCTGCAGCTTCATAAGAGTGTATATTTAAAGAAGATGAATAAATGAGCAAATTAAGTTAATTGAGATATGCAGAAGATATTAAAATTAAAGGAACCGCAGAAAGAGAAGGAAGGAAGTCAAGCTATGAAATGTCAAAATGATTGTAAAATTAGTGAAATGTATAAACTTGAAAAGTATAATTATTTTTTTTAAGGGAGGGGTTCTGGGAAATGTTAGGAAACACACAAACACCCAAGCTACAGTTGTCCAGTTGGTTTAACAACCAACCCTTCTTCCCTGGGAACTCTGGAAATTGCAGTTCTTTAGGAGAAGAGGGTCTCCTAACAACTCTCAGCACCCTTAAGAAACTGCATTTCCCAGGATTCTCTGGTGCTAAAGTGGCACCATAGATGTATAGTGCAGATGTGGCCTTGGAATGAGGCAACTCCCTGTGCCAGATTATTGAAATATTAATGCCTCCATCCAAGGCAGCTACCAAGTGGCTTTGCTGCCTGCCCAGTCTCTTCCTTATAGAGCAGAATAAATATGGAGTACCAAATTGATTGAGGATTAGAGATCTTGAGCCTAAGATTTAACTAGTTAGCTCCAGGTAAATGTGTAATATTCAGCCTCTCCATCCCAACACAAACACACTTGGCTACATTACCTTTCACCTCCGAAAGCATCCTCTCCACTGCCTTCAGACTCCTAGATCATGAGCCGTTTTCATGTATCCCCCCACTTTAATCCAGCCAATCAGGGCTCAGATGTGGGGCTGTTCTTTTGGGATAATCTAGTGGATGTCCTCTGCATAAGGGAATCCCAGTGTCTCTTTACAAACACACACACAAAATGTCAGCAGACTTTTTCAGCAGGGGGCCGGTCCATTGTCCCTCAGACCTTGTGGGGGGCCGGACTATATTTTGAAGGGGGGGGTGAAATGAACGAATTCCTATGCCCCACAAATAACCCAGAGATGCATTTTAAATAAAAGGACACATTCTGCTGATTCTCGGACCGTCCACGGGTCAGATTTTTTTTTTTATTAAATGCTTTTTATTGGTGTTTCATTTAATACAAACAAACAAAATACTGTAAAATTCAACCATCATTTACCCACATTCTTTCCCCACACTCTGCTAAGCATTGACTTCCTTCCCTCACTTCAACAGGTTTTCTCAGGTCAGTTACTTTTCCACAGTTTCTTATTGTATCCAATCCTATCTACATCGTAAGATTTATTTCAGTCCTGCCAGAGTCTTCAAATTTCTACAGTTATTATTTATGTACTCCACAAATTTACTCCAATCTTTTTGGAATTTTGCTTCCTCCTGATTTCGGATTCTACAGGTCAGTTTTGCTAGTTCCGCATAGTCAACCAACTTCGCTTGCCACTCCTCTATTGTTGGTAATTCTGGTACTTTCCATTTTTGGGGCTAACAAAGTTCTGGCTAACAAAGTTCTGGGTCGATTTAGAAGGCAATTGGGCCAGATCCGGGGCCCCGGGCCTTAGTTTGCCTACCCATGTCTTATATTGAGAGAAAGGGGGGAATTCAATTTGTTCCTTCCCCCAAAGAATCCTGGGAGCTGCAGGATGCTGAGAGTTTTTGGGATACCCTTCATAGAGAGACAGTTCCCAGCACTCTTAACAGACTAAATTTCCCATGGTCCTTTGGAGCGAAGCCATGACTGTGACAGTAGTTTGAGACTATATCCAACAAAAGGCAGTTGGGATGCTGCGGCAGTGAGCCGCCCACCATATTTATTATCAACAATGCTCCCAATGTAGCATCGTTCTGGGGCATTGTGGGTAATCAAAATGATGAGCGGCTCATAGCCCCAGCCAATTTTTTAACACTCCGGTTGCGGACCCATAGCAGCTCAAAGATGCTAGACAACCGATTCTGAGCATCTGCTTCTGAAATTAACCAGAGTTGTGGAACTGCCACAGGCTTGTGCCTCTTTCCATTTATTTCAGAATGACACGTGCGAGAAAAGTTACCCATTGATGGCACCTTCGTGATCAAAACAGGGAAACCCTGGGTTGTGGGTTTTTTTAATGAATTGAAAACAAAGGCAAACCCTGCAGTTTTTTTATAGCGTTATATATCTTCTTTGTATCATTACAGTAAAAAATGCACTACCCTTATATTTTGCATTATTGAATCAGGAACTCTTCTCAGTATTGGGTTGTAAATATATAGAAACTTTTTGTAAACTTTTGTACAAAACAAAATGTAATATTTTGGTAGGAATACTGAAATCATATTCTTTGGGTTATATTTATACACATGTGGAATAAAAGTGTACTGTCCAAACTTTGTATTTTATACAGAAAAGGGAAAAAATGCTTACCTTTTGTATCTTAATATACAATGTTGTTGGTGGATTCTTTTTCTTTTTGTATGATATAATTGTTTTATTTTCATTCTGAGACTTAAGAAATGGCTTAAAAGGAGGCAGGAGGAGAATCTCAAAATAAAAGTTGAGGATTTGATCTCCGGCTTTGTAATGGCACCTCGAACACTTGCCAAATTCCTTAAGTGCGCAGCTCATTCTGAGAAAGCAAAGAACGCTGTAGAAATTCCTGGGGAATTTGATTTGGTGTTCCAGATCAAATTTGCATCGGGCTGCTTCCTCAAGACCTGTTTCCTCTTTACAGCACTTGACCATCTTTACTGGAGCTGAATGAGGGCTTCTTCACACGAACTGTTACATTGGAATAACCCTGGGTGGGGAGAGAGCTTCCACCCTCCCCACAGTGGATTCCAGGTGTCTTCAGGGCCTCAGTGGTTCAGACATGCTTTCGAACTGCTAGGTTGGCAGGAGCAGGGACCGAGCAACAGGAGCTCACGCCGTCATGGGGATTTGAACCGCCAACCTTCTGATCAGCAAGTCCTAGGCTCTGTGGTTTAACCCACAGCGCCACCCGCATCCCTTTACCATGCCTTTACCCTCTGGCTAATTGAGCATCTCTTCTTCTCCAGTGGGACTGCCCTGGCTAGTGGAACGCGGGTGGCACTGTGGTCTTATCCACTGAGCTGCTTGAGCTTGCCGATCAGAAGGTTGGCAGTTCAAATCCCCGTGACGGGGTGAGCTCCTGTTGCTCTGTCCCAGCTCCTGCCAACCTAAGCACGCCAGTGCAAGTAGAAGGTGGGAAGGTAAACGGCGTTTCTGTGTGCTCTGGCTTCCATCATGGTGTTCCGTTGCACCAGAAGCGGTTTAGTTATGCCGGCCACATGACCCGGAAAGCTGTCTGGACAAACGCCGGCTCCCTCGGCCTGAAAGCAAGATGAGCACCACAACCCCAAAGTCACCTTTGACTGGACTTAACCGTCCAGGGGTCCTTTACCTTTACTTTTACCTGGCCAGTCTCTTGCAGGCTGTCAGTCTCCATAGCTGACTGTCCAGTGGAGAACTCCTGTACCAGCTGCTCCCAACACCTTGGTTTGATTCTACCACCAGCTGGGATGCCAAAGTCCTAGTATTCCTACAAGGATACAGCTGTGCTGAGTGAATGCACCTGAGCAGGATCTAAATATGTTCAGCTGAACATCTGTTTGGAGTTTATACATGTATCATTTTCTTCTTCATTAATGTCATATGCCACCCTTAATCCCTAGATCTCAGGGGGTAAACATAAAACTCCAATATACAAAATACATAATAAAAACAAGAAACAAAAACAAACCCATAATAGCCCCCTGCACACACAGCACATTTAAAAGGGCCTTGAGTGTCAATCAGCCAAAGGCCTGTTTGAAGAGGAACGTTTGTGCCTGGTGCATGAAGGTGTATAATGAAGGAGCCAGGCGAGCCTCGTCAGGGAGAACATCCCACAGATTGGGAGCCGCTGCAGATAAGGCCTATTCTTGTGTTGCCACCCTCTGGGCCTCTTGTGAGGAGGCACACAAAGAAGGGCCTCAGGATGATCTCAGGACCTGTGTAGGTTCATATGAGCAGAGGTGGTCCTTGAGGTATTGCAGTCCAGTCGAATACCAGTTGCACTGTGCCCCTGAAATTGAGGGTGGTGGTACCACGCAA